GAGCTTTTGGGAATTCTGGTAACCCATGTCGATGATCTTGAAGGTGGAGTCAAAGAAGAGTACATGGTATCAGCCTTCGAGAAGTCAGCCAAAGCCTTGGAGTTTGCTACAAACCATGCAAGAGATTTCATTTTTCGTGGTCGGGAAATCAAGCAGCATGCTGATGGACATATAGATGTTTCCATGCGGAACTATGCCATCAACACCAAGCGGATTCACATCGCAGCAGCCAGGAAAGCGCAAACGCAGAGTTCTTTAACGGTTGAGGAGAAGATGCTTTATGAGAGCGCAGCCGGAGAACTTGGTTGGTTGACGCGGCAGCTACGATGCGACCTAGCATATGAGAACGGTGTTGCGCAGCGCAGCAAGCGTTCAGCATGTGTGGGCGACTTGATTCGACTTCGACAGTATTTGTCTCAGGCACGTCGCAATGCAGATTTCAGGATGCGGTATTGGTCAGATGTCAATCTGAGCGATGCAATAGTTCTCTTATTGGCCGACTCAGGTCATGCCAATGGCACGCCGGAGAAGGATGATATCCTTCGATATCGAAGTGTTGGAGGTTATTTCGTCTTGGTGTGCAACAAGGAGGTCCTTGAGGACCAGCCTGCAAGAGCCAATGTTTTATGTTTCCACAGCAGCCAAACAAAACGTGTGTGCCGGTCGACGCTAGCAGCAGAAGCTTCGCATTTAGCAGAAGCCGTCGAGGCTGGTGATTGGTGCATTTGTTTGTTGGAAGAAGCTCTTACAGACCAGCTGAATCTTAAAGATTGGCCGGAAGCTATTCGCCGGAGGAAGAGAGTGTACGTCACTGACGCTAAGAGCGTTTACGACTACTTGCATAAAGATGCAACTTCCACCAGCACAGGCAAGCGGATGGCGATTGAAGGGGCTTTATTGCGGGAGACAGTCAGGCAAGAGGGAGCAGCAGTTCGTTGGGTTGACGGAATGCAGAACATTGCAGATGTTTTGACCAAGGCCACAGCGGATAAGACTTTTCTGAAACAGTTCCTTCGAGATGGTATGATTAGCCTTGTGCAGAGCCCGGAGAATCGTGCCTTGAAGGAGAAGAAGAGAAGTGAACGGCAGAAACGATCTGCCAATTCCAAGAAGCCTGAGATGAAGCTGAAAGCAGACGATGCCCGCAGGCAAAGACTGGCGGATGAGATCGCGGCAGAGGGTTCAAGCACTTCAGATCAACAAGAATAAATACTTTAGAGCCTCCGGCTCAGTCCGCCGACATTGTCCTCTCCCTTTTCTCCTTCTTCCTCTCTTCCTTGTCTCCCTTGTGTGTTCTGTCGTCCTCTCTCCCTCCCTCTGCTCCCATCCTCCCCATCCCCCCAAGCCTCTCTCTCCCCACTCTCCCTCTCTCGTATGTATGCATGCATGTATGTATGTATGTATGTATGTATGTATGTATGTATGTATGTATGTATGTATGTATGTATGTATGTATGTATGTATGTATGTATGTATGTATGTATGTATGTATGTATGTATGTATGTATGTATGTATGTATGTATGTATGTATGTATGTATGTATGTATGTATGTATGTATGTATGTATGTATGTATGTATGTATGTATGTATGTATGTATGTATGTATGTATGTATGTATGTATGTATGTATGTATGTATGTATGTATGTATGTATGTATGTATGTATGTATGTATGTATGTATGTATGTATGTATGTATGTATGTATGTATGTATGTATGTATGTATGTATGTATGTAATGTATGTGTATGTATGTATGTATGTATGTATGTATGTATGTATGTATGTATGTATGTATGTATGTATGTATGTATGTATGTATGTATGTATGTATGTATGTATGTATGTATGTATGTATGTATGTATGTATGTATGTATGTATGTATGTATGTATGTATGTATGTATGTATGTATGTATGTATGTATGTATGTATGTATGTATGTATGTATGTATGTATGTATGTATGTATGTATGTATGTATGTATGTATGTATGTATGTATGTATGTATGTAATGTATGTATGTATGTATGTATGTATGTATGTATGTATGTATGTATGTATGTATGTATGTATGTATGTATGTATGTAATGTATGTATGTATGTATGTATGTATGTATGTATGTATGTATGTATGTATGTATGTAATGTATGTATGTATGTATGTATGTATGTATGTATGTATGTATGTATGTATGTATGTAATGTAATGTAATGTAATGTAATGTAATGTAATGTAATGTAATGTAATGTAATGTAATGTAATGTAATGTAATGTAATGTAATGTAATGTAATGTAATGTATGTATGTATGTATGTATGTATGTATGTATGTATGTATGTATGTATGTATGTATGTATGTATGTATGTATGTATGTATGTATGTATGTATGTATGTATGTATGTAAATGTAATGTAATGTATGTATGTATGTATGTATGTATGTATGTATGTATGTATGTATGTATGTATGTATGTATGTAATGTATGTATGTATGTATGTATGTATGTATGTATGTATGTATGTATGTATGTATGTATGTATGTATGTATGTATGTATGTATGTATGTATGTATGTATGTATGTATGTATGTATGTATGTATGTATGTATGTATGTATGTATGTATGTATGTATGTATGTATGTATGTATGTATGTATGTATGTATGTATGTATGTATGTATGTATGTATGTATGTATGTATGTATGTATGTATGTATGTATGTATGTATGTATGTATGTATGTATGTATGTATGTAATGTATGTATGTATGTATGTATGTATGTATGTATGTATGTATGTATGTATGTATGTATGTATGTATGTATGTATGTATGTATGTATGTATGTATGTATGTATGTATGTATGTATGTATGTATGTATGTATGTATGTATGTATGTATGTATGTATGTATGTATGTATGTATGTATGTATGTATGTATGTATGTATGTATGTATGTATGTATGTATGTAATGTATGTATGTATGTATGTATGTATGTATGTATGTATGTATGTATGTATGTATGTATGTATGTATGTATGTATGTATGTATGTATGTATGTATGTATGTATGTATGTATGTAATGTATGTATGTATGTATGTATGTATGTATGTATGTATGTATGTATGTATGTATGTATGTATGTATGTATGTATGTATGTATGTATGTATGTATGTAATTATGTATGTATGTAATGTATGTATGTATGTATGTATGTATGTATGTATGTATGTATGTATGTATGTATGTATGTATGTATGTATGTATGTATGTATGTATGTATGTATGTATGTATGTATGTATGTATGTATGTATGTATGTATGTATGTATGTATGTATGTATGTATGTATGTATGTATGTATGTAATGTATGTATGTATGTATGTATGTATGTATGTATGTATGTATGTATGTATGTATGTATGTATGTATGTATGTATGTATGTATGTGTATGCATGTATGTGATGTAGTAAGTAAGTAAGTAAGTAAGTAAGTAAGTAAGTAAGTAAGTAAGTAAGTAAGTAATGTAATGCATGTAATGTATGTACGTATGTATGTATGTGTGCATGCATGCATGCATGCATGCATGCATGCTTACATACATGTATGCATGTATGTATGTATGTAATGTATGTATGTATGTAATGTCATGTAATGTCATGTAATGTCATGTAATGTAATGTAATGTAATGTAATGTACTGTAATGTATGTATGTATGTATGTATGTATCCTTGCACTTCCCCTTTGCTCCCCAGTATTTCCCGCAAAAAAAACACGGTTTTTCCAGCGTTTTCGCAAAGAGGACGTCCAAAAACATTGAGTTTTTCCAGATTTTCGGCAAAAGGATGCAGGAAGCCCAAGCCAGCAAAAAAGCCGGCAGGGGGAATCGAGCCTGGGACCCCTGTTTTGCGACACCGGCTCCCCGAAGACTACGTTTAGTGGAACGTCATCAAATTGCCGCGCGGTACGTGGGGGACCCCCCCCCCCCCCAAAAAACCTACGTAATAGACGTCGGGCGGGGGGGGGTTAGGGGGGGGGTTATCCTCTATCCTCTAGTAAGTATCCGACACGCCGAGCAATGTCGGCGGACACTGGTGTGAGAGTTGCCAGCAGAAACCAGGTATTTCCAGGTAGCAGCCTTTGATCTGAGTGCATGTGCTTGTGGAGGCTTTGCTCGGCCCAAACCACAACGGCCCCCTGCTCATATGAGCCTGGTCAACAGGTGGCGATCGGTCCATGTCAGCCTTGGCAACGCGGGACGACCATCATAGCAGCCAGACACAGCAGTCAGCAGATTAGATCATTTATGACATGTTTCACTCAACATACCTTTCGTTGCTCGTGTGGTGAAAACAGCTTGCGCTACCACTGCCAGTGCTTTCGCAGCATAACATATCTTTAAAATATGCGTAATTCATAAATATATATATATACATATACACATACATATGCGCGCGCGTGCGCCGCCCCTGGAGCGGCGTCGCGGCGTTGCGGGGCGCTGGGAAGATCATTGTATTTGATGGGTACAGCCCTGCCTGTGATCGAAGCTCAAATTGATGGTGCTTGGATGTCAGTGCAATACTTCTAGGCCGCAGAGACATTTCCATGCAACTGTGGTTGGCACCAGTATGGTCGAGCTCCGTTATTCTGACAAATTGCATGCTGGTTGTGATGGCCGCGTGCATCACCTAAAAAAGACTGGAAGTGATGGCCGTTGTTTACCTTGATCCATTCGTATATGTGGGTGGGTGGGTGGATGGGTGGATGGTGCTACTGGCCCCGGTGCCATGTTCAAAAGGTTGGTAGCGGGCAAGAATCGCTTAGGGAATTTCAACAACCTCTTCAATGGGTTCCTAGAACCCCTCAATAGGGAATTTAGACCACCATTCTAGCGGGTTCTGAGGGCTCCTATTAAAGCCATGACATTGGCCAGGACTTTTGACCATACACTTGACATAGGCAGATAGATGCGCACAAACCGATTAGGTCGGCACTACGCTTCTACCAGAAGAAGGGCTTCGAGGCATTGAACAGCTTGATTGGGCGAGCACAGGGATGACGGGATCTTTGGGAAATAGCCTGGTTGATACAAAGGGCTAAACAATTGGGTTGCCGCGCTTCGAATAACGGCTTTTGCCAAGTGATATCCATCCACTTCAAATCAGTGTGCAACCCAGGAGGGACAGAAATTCATGCTGCCGCCTGGCCGCGAAAACGCTGGAACAACACATGTTTTTGCGATATGAAGAAACAAGGGTCTTGAAAGTGCGGCAACCCCCCCGCTTGACGCAACATGTTTCTCCCATCATGACTAAATTTGGTTTTCAAGTAGCCCACAGCTCCCTTTTTATTTTCTAGGCCCTTACAGTACGCCGGACTAGTACCGACCAGCGTGTTTTTTCATCGTGTGCTCTTGAGCGGGGACGCTTATCATTTGGCCGGCATGTGTGACCAGTGTTGAGCGCGTGCTCCTGAGCAGGTGCGCTTATCATTTGGCAACCACGTGTGCAGTGCTGATGCTCTTGAGCGGGCGTGCTTATCATGTTGCAGGCATGCGTGCAGTGCTGAGCGTGTGCTCTTGAGCGGGTGTTGGCACGTGTGCACACCTGAGCGTGTGCCTTGAGCGGGCACGATTATGATTTGGCCGGCGCGCGCGCGCGCAGCGTTGCGCGTGTTCTCTTGAGCGGGTATGCTTATCATGTGGTAGGCATGCGTGCAGTGCTGAGCATGTGCTCTTGAGCGGGCGTGTTTGGCAGGCGTGTCTGCAGTGCTTTGCGTGTGCTCTTGAGTGGGCGCGCGTATCATTTGGCGGGCATACGTGCAGCGCTGAGCATGTGCTGGTGAGTAAGCGTGCCTATCATGTGGCGCCTGCGCAGTGCTGAGCGTGTCGTCTTGGACGGGTGTGCTTTTGTTTTTGCGGCGCATGAGCAGTGCTGCGCGCGTGCTCTTGGCGGGCGCTTTTCTCATTTTGCAGGCATGTGCTGAGCGTGTGCTCTTGAGCGCGCGTATTACGCATTGGCGCGTGCGCTCGCAGTTCCTGAGCGTATGCCCTTGAGCGGGCACATGTGTCATTTGGCAGGCACGTGTGCAGATCTGAGCGCGTGCTCTTGAGTGGGCGTGCTTCCCATGAGGCAGGCGCGCGCAGTGCTGAGAGTGTTTTCTTGGGCGGGTGTGCTTTTGTTTTTGCAGGCACGTGAGCCGTGCTGCGCGTGTGCTGCGTTGCGCGTGTGCTGCGCTGCGCGTGTGCTGAGCGTGTGCTACTGAGCGAGCGCGCGCGCGCGCGCTACGCGGCGGCGAGTGGGTCATTTGGCAGGCATGTGTGCAGATCTGAGCGTGTGCTCTTGAGCGGGCGTGCTTGCCATGAGGCAGGCGTGCTCACAGTGATGAGCGCTCGAGCGGGCGCGCTTATCATGTGGCAGGAGAGCGCGCATTGCTGTGCGAGTGCTTCCGGGCGGGTGTGCTTACCATTTAGCAGGCGTGTGTGTGAAGTGCTGAACGTGTGCTCTTGAGCGGGTCTGCTTGTCACGCGTGCCGCACAGAGCGTGTGCTCTTGAGAGGGTCTACATTCACTCGGAAAGCACATGTGGGGAGCGGCCAGCTAGCGGGCGTGCTTTCCATTTACAGGCATGTTTGGGTCGCTGACGGTGGCTCTTGAGTGCCAGTAGCGTCACAGCACCCAAAAGCATGCAGAACACTGCGGTTCAGCATCAGCCCGGTTAATCTTATAGCGTGCTTGAGGGTGCAGGTCGCTGTCAAATTACCATGTTCACCCGATCGCACTGCAAGGCCCTCATTCAATTCTAGTCCAATCTAGTCCAATCTAGTCCTTCAGGCTTGGGGCTGGAACTGCTGGAACTTGATGGCTACCATGCAAGGAGCCTCATCCAAAAGCAGCGGCTCCCTCCCAAAACCATGTGCAAGCCCGGGCGGGCCGGGGCGCCCTCGTATCAGAATGGCTTATATCTTGGGCCCGATCATAGGTTGCCACGTGACCCACACTTGGATTCATGTGCTAATTTGCTCTCTGCCTCAGGGAGTCCACGACTCTTGTCAAACAAGTTTGAGTTTCAACTTGGAGCAGGTCACTTCGGACTGGCTTGGCTGGGGTGAGCAGTTCTTCTTGCTTCTCAAGCCGCTGTTCATTTGAGTCCTTCGCAGAACCCGCTTAGATGCTGGTTGGCTGTGTGGCAGGAGCTGTGTGGCACGAGCCGTCAGGTGATAACAAATCTTGGAATGGGCAGCGATTCGGGAGAGTTGTGTTCCGCCCCCTGCTGGGGCCTTTCGCGTGCTCATCACATCGTCAAATTGACCCGGGAGTTTCTCAAGCTAGTGGTCTCCTAGAATAAAAATGTGTATAAGGAAACCAATAAGAAACCACCCTTTGTTGTGCTCTTTGCTTTGGGAAACCTCCACCTCTGGTGTGTCTCCCCTTTGAATGCTTGAAACCCTTCCATGTGCCACATAGCCCGCACCACCGGGCCACCGGGCGTCAGCCCAGCCTCGCACACGGCCGCCTTTGAAATGATGGCCATCGGACACACGAGACCTGCGGTGGGCGCATCGCTGTATATTCTTGACCCACCTGCCCAATCCGTTTGACCTTTCTCCCCTGCTTGGTCCATGTATAGTCATGGCCCCAAAAGGTGAGCCTTTCAACTCTGGGTCATCTGAGTTTAGGGTACCTTCTTTGAAGTTTCAAAGATAAGCCAAAGGCTAGATGCCTTTTTCCGGATCCATACCTCTATTTTCACACCACATATCACATACCCGCTTATTTGTGTGAGGTTCCTGATGTCAATTGGGGAGCTGCCAATATTTAGGTCTGCTCATGTTACCTGGCCCCGTTCTCATCCGAGGGGAAGCCACCAAGGATTGACTTCATGTGGTCTCATGACCAAGCATGAGCCCAGTTCTTTCTTGAGCAACCTACGATAGTCTCTGAGGCACGCATGGGTGCAGACGCCACACTTAAAAGATTGCAAAGGAGATGGGAGGACTCCGTCCTCGCAGGGTGGATTTTCGGATCTTACATGAGGTTCCTACCAGTTGGACGCACCAGGTCGCCCTTGAAGTGTAGGGCTTTAGCTGTTTAATCCACGTATTAGATGAAATAGGCGTTTTCTGGTTGTGATGTGTGAGCTTCTGAATGCTTTGCACTTCACTGCCGTCTCCGACTTAGATGATTTGTTCCCGGGAGCCTGATGCACCAGAAAAAATGAGAGCTTCCGCTGCCGGGCCCACTTCGAGGGATACTTGTATAGCGAAGGCCAGCTCTGAGAATGGAGCCTGGTCGGAGGAACCCAGGACTCAGGGGAGCCACCGTTGTTTTTGTACGGTCCTCAGGATAAATCCAAAGTCAACAGTATGTCACGTGGGGGGGTGTCGCTTTTTCAAGTGGGCGGCCGAAAAGGAAACCAAACATTTGAGGGTCCCAAGGTCGCTGATTTTATGAGACAAGTGCCATGTTTTGCAGGGCAAGGACGAGCGCTGGTTTAATTTCCTTGTCATCCACTCATGTGGAACCTGACCTCATGGCTGTGGAAACTTGGGTTTTGGCAAATTTTCTGAGTCCTGAAGTGCAGCTTTCTCGTGAGTTCCATCTTGGTTCGCAGAAGGCCCGGTACACCAAACTGAAGCTTACGACCTGCCAACAAAAATCATCACAATGCCTCTGTGCCATGCCCGCGCTTCCTCTGGCTCGCGCATAGTTAGCTCCAGCTGTCCTGCCGCCCCAAGGCGTGGGTTTTGTTGCCCCAAAGCATGGGAAGCAAAAGCACCCTGGGAGAAGTTGGCCTTTACCTGTTGCTTAGAAGACTCTCAGCGTTTGGGGGACAAACTTTGAAGGGGCATTTTTAAAGATGCTGTGTGTTGGACACTGAGCATGATGTCCACGTTCAGAAAGTTTGAGCGTGGGTGCAGGATCCAGAATGGACCCCCAAGGTCCGTTTAATGATGTTGACTGGAGCAGAGAGTTGTTCCTCTCGCCCAAATCGCGGCTTGGGTCTGGGCGGTGGGCTGATCAAAGATTACAGGCTGTTTGAACCAGTGATGCGACATGCACACTGAACTTGGTGCTGATGCGTACTGGGATGAACGAGAGCTATTGCGGCTTGGTATCCCAAGCGTGGATTTCAATGTTGGCACATTCGGTTGTGTGGCCAGAATAAGGTGACCCAACAAAAACATTGGTTGTTCTTTTTGCTGTCCCCTTAACCAGATCAAACTCATACACACACACACACAGACACAGACACAGACAGACACACAGACACAGACACACACACACAGACATTTACACAGACACACAGAGAGAGACACTCACACACACACAGACACAGACAGACACACAGACATTCACACAGACACACAGAGAGACACACACACACACACACATTTGATGCTTGGCTTGGTGCGCCACGCAGGTTGGCAAGATGGCTGAGGAGACCCAAGAGACGCCAAGCAGAGCACCAGAAGCGTCGGAAGCTGAGTGATATGTGCGCCCCCGCCCAACATGAAACCCACCAGCAGAGCCGCAGGAACCCCAGTCAGGTTCCGCGCTGGTGGCTGGGACACAAATTGCTTTCCGTCCAATTCTAATTGTAGGAGTGAGCAAGAGGGAAATTCAACATGAATTCTTGGACTGTCAGGATCGTCGGAAAGAGGGTCATCAAAACCATAGGTAGTGATGCTTGATTTCCTGCCATGGTTTTCAAACCAACCCCGAGTCTGGTCGCATTCACATCCGGGAAATTGACATTGGAGCATCCAGCTTTTGAGCCATCGCTTCCGAACCAGGGACGGTTTGAGAAGGAACCCCGCCAACCAACCATTTGAAGTCCAAGCTTCTGACACCTACCCACATTGCAGGATCAGTGGGAAAGCCTGGTATCGCAGTTGCCACTTTGCCCAGGGTTTTGTCAAGCCACAAAACGGGAGAATCATGAAACACTTCATGATTTTCTTTTGAACATCACCTAGTTCCCCCCCTCCCAAACAACCCCTCCACCCCCTCTCCCCACAACCCATGCGATTTTAGTTTCAGCCCCGGTCTTCGGCGCTCTTTCGTTTCGCAGGCTGGGGCCAGAGGCGGAGGCCAGTGCTCCAGAGGCTCCAGCAGACGCTCCAGACGCGGAGGCTACGGAGGCTCCAGAGGCCAAGGCGCCTTGAGCCCGGGGGTTCTTTGGTAGTGAGGCATCAGAAGTGAGTTATATGGAGGTTTGTAGGCAAGTTCTGAAGTCATAAGTGCAGCATGCAAGTTTGATTGTACGTAGCCCCTGAATTATCAACCTGGCTGTGGTCGCGTCTTGTGATCCCTTTGATGATTGCTGTGCGAGGCAACGAGCTCAAGACATTGGGGAATCCTGGTCATGACAGCTTGCCAGCTCAAGCCTCTCCTGCTTTTGCAAGTAACAAGAGCCTTCTTGAAACGACGGCGCGGCCCTCCTGTTGCTTTCCTTGTGCTTGGCCATGTGTGTCAAGCCCCGGCACTAACTGTTGGTATCGTGAATGTTTCCTTGCTGAAGGCCATCCCAAAACAGTTCCCCGTTGGTTTGACGCATGAGTTCTGTCCGAAAGCCCTCTACAGATTTCTTAAGGCCCCAATCCCAACCCAACCCTCATGTGGGGCGGAGATTTTCCGGATATGTTTGTTGGATCCTGGGGAAGGGGGGTTTATCTGACCTCACCTTCCCAAGTCCCGTCTCCCCGCCGCAGGCAGATGCACCCGAGGCGGAGGCAAGGCGGCGAGACATGGAAACCCAGCACTGGTTGATTAGGAAAGAGCCCTAGTAAGCTTGAATCCGGCGTGCATTATGGGCGCGTCTTTTTGCTCATGCGTTGTTCAATGCGTTTAAAATGTGGTTGTCTGACAGGGAACCGAAGGGAAATGACACATTTTGAGGGCTTAGGTTTGAGACGGGCCCATACGTGCCCTCCACGTGTCCCGTGAACCCAGTCTCCTGGCTTTCAATATGGGCTCGTCATTGTTTGATACCCTTTTTGTCTTGTTTTAGAGGGACACCGAAAGGAAACCGCCACTTTGAAATGTCCCACACCTTGCCTCCGGAGGCCGACTCCAAGGAGGACCATGTTTGCCGCGCCAGACGCAGGTTCCCCCCTTTCCCAGGGTTACAAGAATGCGGCTGTGAGTCAAACATAGGTCCCCAAAATGGAACCGTGGTAAATGGAACCAAGGACTAAAACCTGCGGTCCACTGGTGGTTTAATTTTGACCCATACCCATGTGTCTGCCGACTTTTGGTGGTTTTCAAGATAAGGGGAAATAAATCTGGAGGTCCGTGTCCGCCGAGATGGCTTGTTGGGACACATGTCTGGGCAACTTGTACAGTCAGAAACGCCTGATTTTTGTCAGTCTGAGAAGAGTGGTTGGGCCACTGCGTACTTGCTTGTTTTTGCTGTGAATTCTCGCTGATTCATGTTGGGCAGAGACCTGTGTGCGCCGTCCGCCGCCCACGGTGTTTGCGAGATGTCAAGCAAGGAGCTTTTGCTGTGGGCAAGGCTTGAGTGCTCGCGCAACTCCGCACGTTCCGTTTGCCATGCATCGCAGGCATAGCAGGCTTGGCTGCAATGAATGAACGATCGATCATGTGGCGGAGACAAACATGCAGACACGATTTCACAAACTTCCAAAATATGCATGCGTTAGCTACTGAAAGCCAGAAAGACGGTGCACGCAGTTGCATATGGTTTCCTTGCGCATGGGTTGTTAGTCTGATGAAGGCGCGGCCCACGTCACGCGCCGCTGAGAGCAGCTCTCACATCCATGGTGCTTTGCAAAATACGGACCCAGGACATTTGGAAGTTTCTCCGGATAGTGGTTCCCTTTACAATGCATGGTTTCCTTTCAATATCCTGTTAAATGCCATCCAAAAGGGATTCTCCATGTTGAGAAACCTTCATTTGAGTGGCCCGCCGCCCGTGCGCGGACTCCATGGAAAACATCACGAGTCCTGCCTCACTGTGCACATTGCTAGCTTGACAGGCTGCAGCGCTGCTGCTTTGGGCTGTTGCTCAAGGCAGGAAAACGGTCCAACCGTTCTTCTTGGCAAGTCATCCGTACACGGCGCAATGCTTCAGTTCGGGATTTGCATGTCCCAAGTGTGCTCCCTAGCCAGAAGCTATCGGTTGGTGTCGAGGCCTTGGCCACCCTTTTCAGGCCCCTTTCACCCTTTGATTTTTCCGGGGGCAAAGATCCAAGTTGGCCAACTGGGCCCGATTGGAATCCACGCTCATTCGAGGCGCAGATCTCGATCTTCCAATCTTACCGCTGGCCTTTGCGCCTTGGGTTCCTGTGGTCTGCTCGCATGGCACGTGCGATGTTTGGGGTAGCGTATCCCCAAACCCATTGGTTGCTTCCTTTTGGTTCCTTTGTGAGCCACCCCTCAAAAGCGGTACCCTGAAAAACACACAGACACACACACACAGACACACACACACACACACAGACACACAGGCACACGCACAGTGACACACTGACACACTGACACACAGACGCGCAGACGCACATACCCACGGACGCACAAACGCACAGACGCACAGACGCAGACACACAGACACACAGTTGCACAGACGCACAGAGACACAGGCACACAGAGACACATACTTTCTTCAGGGCGGCGACATTCAGTCAATCGATGTCAGGGGGCTGGCTACTGAGGACAAGAACAACAAGAAAGCTGGAAGTTTAGAAGCCTCTCGGACTGAACCGCTGTCAATTCTGCAGGAAGTTAGCCACATACCAACAACAAGCCACAGGGGTGGCTAAGTTCCTGTAGAATTTCCTGTGCCGGGTCCAAAATGCTGGCTGGCAGTGAAGCGTCGGTTATGGCCCAAGAAGGCTGTGGACAATCGAGTGCGGCCCAATGAAAACCCACTTCAGCGAATGTTACCAGACCGTCCCAACCAGAAATTCGCTCGAATCCCCACCGTTTGAAGCCCAGGTAGGAGAAAAGGGACGTGTCCCGAGCCCCAATATAGGAAGGTTTGATTGTGATCGCTGAGTCACTTTGATCAAATCGTCATCGGAGCTTTCTGCTCTTGAGTCTGAGGGCATTGGCTTCCACTAGAGACCAAGAAACTCATTTGCGCCACATCGGCCGAAGGATGAGGTGGATGCCCTAGACTCTAGACAGAGTTTTATTAGGATGATTACTCTCACTTGATCACGGATAGTATGTACCCTCATATATACATATGTAATGTACATGTATTTATATACACAAATGTGTATCATAGATTCCTTGATTTTTGGACAGGCATGAGTTGTACCCTTCCGAGCCACGCATCTGAAACGTAAGGACCGCGCCATCCCCTCGGACAAGAAGAAGGATCGCTGCCGCGGCCTCGATTTGGACCCCAAAGCCGTGTCAGGACGAGATGATTTCCAGCCCCAAACCAAGGGACATCAGGGTGTACCTGGAGTCTCCATGACCCTTTAAAAATGGGGTCATTACCCAAAACAATGGGGTTATGGACCCATTTTTAAAGGGTCATGGAGGCTCCAGGTACACCCTTTACATAGTGGTTATATAGTGGTATACCCCATATTTCCCTTGGGGGTGGTGGTTTGGGAGTTGGGCCCCATCTCAGATAGACCTTGGGAAAACAAACTGTTTTTTCCCTTTTATCCGGCAAACGTTTAGCAAAATCATCGATGCGGACAACGAACTTCACCAAAGAGAAAGTAGTCTTCGAACAGTATGTCAGCTTCCGATTGCAGAGATGGTAACAACTCCAATTTGCCTTTTTGGATTGCCCCTAAAGGCCTAGGGATTGCGATATGGACAAACACATCAATATGTCAATGTGTCTAACGAAATGCAGAGTTCATGAGTGTTGACATGCACTTGTTTGGCCACTTTCCATATGTGGGGGTTCAAAATCAGAGCCGCTATGGTATCCTCGTTGCAATGCAGCGCAAGGCCGTACCAGGGACCAAAAAGGGAACGCCCCACATGACTTAGATCACATTTTTGTACAGGATCAAAGACACACTGTGCTTTTGGCTGGGTAAATTAGGTGTTGCCAAGACACTGTCAAAAGGGGGAAGTGTGATCTTGCTGGTACTCCTTTATGAGATGCCATCTAGTCAAAGGATAATGAGCTCAGTGAACAGAGCTCATGAAGGTTCCTTTGGAAGGTCCTTCTTCCAGTTGTGAGCTCTAGTAATTTGCTCAGATAGCTAATGTTTCCTGCCAAACAGTGGTTGCCCGCTGGTTGCAATGCCGCATTGGGAGAGTCGTCCATTCCCCAGGCAATCAGTTCCCACCTTTGACAGATCCGTGAATCTCGGAAACTTAGGTTTCCATCAAACCACTGGTAAACTCATGACTTTTGAAACTATTTAGACAGCACCATCACTCTCCAGCAGGATCCATCCAAAACGTGCCCCCCCCCCACAATTCCCCAGTGAAGAGCATTGCCCAAGAAGGAAATAGTATTCAGGGCATGTTTGTTCAGGGCATGTTTGTCATTTGCGGGACCGAGAATCGGTCGCAAGCTACAATGCAGTTGACATTTAAAAGTTCATGCAAGCCCCTAGGTGTCCGAGGATGCAGGTCCAGGGAACTATGTATGACTAAAGTGCAGACATTGAGAGGGGGAAGACACAGGCAGCGCACAGTTTGCACGACAGCTTTGTTGCGTGGTTTACCTGAAAGCTTTGTTGCCTTTGACGCTGAGGGAATGACTTCAAGCCACGCCCCGTGGTGTGGCGCTGAGTGACGAGTACCATCCTGGGTGCTAGATAGCCCACAATCGTTCTTTGGTCCATCGGGAAACCAAAAGGGGATGGGTGACTCTTTCACACCGACACTTCTTGCTGCCAAATTTCTTGATGTTCGGAGTGCCAAAAAGGTGAGCCAGGGGATGTCTGGTTCTGCCGCTTTGTGTTGCCATCAAGTGGAAGCAATGCTTTGAGGAGTGCGAGTGCAAGCGATTCACCCTTCGCTAACAGCCATCCATGAATCAAGCACAAGTCGGGTGCTGTTGCGATTACCGAAGTTGCCCAAACGAAGCAGCACGTAGGAACGAGCAGCCCAAGGTCGACACTGGCCTTCCCCTTTCCGGGAGTTCAACTTTTCTATTCGAGAAGGTAGTTGCCTGTTTCAGGATTGTGGGAATGTGCGTCCAATGGCATAGTATTAGGAAGAACACCCACAACTTCCATGCTCCACTTTTTGGGAAGAAGGAACCTCCGCCTCAAGGAATATGCCGTGGTGGGTAGCTTCTTCGCCTTGCTTGCTTCGACGTTCCTGATCGTCCACCGCATCCGCGGAGAAAAGCGTTTGGAGGCGGAAGAAAGTTTGCGTCGAGCTTCAGGGTGGCTCAGCTCATTTTCCAGACCCAACATTGATCTGGGCGTGTCTGTTTTTGAATGTAGCGTTTTTGGGATGGTATTCAAGGGAAACAACAAGACAAACACCAATTTTTAGGATCCCCTGTTTAATGAGACACGCCCACTTGGTGGCTTTCAGGCCTCCCAGTGCGAACATGCTTGCGGCAAAACCGACGCCTTGGCTCTGCGCATTTGCAGGTTCTCCAGTTGGCATCTCGATTTTATTCCGGTCTGCCAGAACACAAGGCCTTCTTGATGTTTACGCATTTCCCAAGTCCGAACTCCTCCGCTTTTGTACCCCCCAGCAACCCTCTGAGACATCCCTAGATGGTTTCTATCCTGCGCCGATAGGCAGATTTATTTCTATTTTGACTGTTTTGGGTTTTCTTCGTGTCCGTTTCAACAAGCCAACAAGTTCTAGAGCCATTTCAACGGCAATTTGAGAGTCTTTACTGGGCGCCAGAGAGCCAACATTAGACGTCCCAAAAGGAAACCAAAAGGAGACGGATAGATTAGATTTTTGTGCAGTCCATTTATTCAGAACTCGGTTGATCGGAAAGTTCTCGTGCAAGCATCGATCAGTCTCTTGTGCCTTGGCAGGGGCTGCGGCGAGCCTTGTCTGAAGGGCATGGAGGGAGCTTTCGCCATGTGCTAGGTGATGCTAGGTGGTTCCTTTTGCTTTTGAGATGTCTTTGTTTTTGATAGAGCTGTTTTGCTGACCAGGGCTGGTTCTCCTGGTTGGTTGGTTGGTTGGTTGGTTGGTTGGTTGGTTGGTTGGTTGGTTGGCTGGCTGGCTGGCTGGTTGGTTGGTTGGTTGGTTGCCCACAATCTCGATTGTCCTTTTGTTTTACCCCAGGACCTTCTTCGGTATGACTTGAAAGGCTTGTTTTCTACCACTTGAGCCACAATCAAAAGCCAGGTAGATGAAGGTTAGCAAGTGATCATCACAGGTGTCTTGTTTGGTCGAATTGCCTAAAAATAGAAGGCCCTGGTTTACCTGGTGGTTCAATCATCCACAAGGGCCATCTATTTTCAAAAAAAAAGCACCTATGGTTTACACTGCCTTACGACCATGTGGCTGGTCAAAAATCGGTACCCCAAACCACCTGCGGTGTCCGGGTGGTTTTGGTTTTTGACACCATCATGACACCCGATCGGATGCGGTCGGTCACGAGGTGAGGAAGCCGGAGACACCACCCGCCTGGAGTTCTTCGAGTTCACGCGGCCGAAGCCCCATGCGACGCGGCCCCCGCCTGAAGGCCGGGACCTAGGGATTCAAAACCAACAGAAAAGCGAAGATGGGTGGTTTGAAATCCTAGGTCTAGGAGCTGGGATGAAAAGTTTCTGCCACACGGCATGTTTCAGTGTTGAACTAGGGGAGACCTCCCCAACAATGTGGTTTCTTGTTTGGATTGCCCTTTAAGACCCACCTGAACAACGCCGTGAAAAGGGAAGGGAGCCAAACATTGGTTTTTGCCCGGCTGCGAACAGCAACCCTACGGCCTAGATCATCACCTTTGGCGTTGGATGTTGGTGACCAAAGAAAGTGCTCGCAACAAGCGACACTCGGACGAGCCGACACAAGGCCATGCAGGCTTTGTTTGCACCTGTTCTTCCATATTTTCATTTGAGCAACTGAAGAAGTGCATGGTAGTGTTTTGTTTGTTTGAGCAATCTCACCAAATCGGTGGAAAAAAGAGCTCAACATGATCCCCTTCTTGGCTGCACGAATTCCAGGGAGTCCCAAAGTGTTCTATCTCTGGGGAAACCTGCCTCCAATCGGCGAGCTCCGCATAAGGCTTCTTTCACTCGGACCACCTGCCGCCTCCGCCGGTGGGCACTTTCCAGCGTCTTGACGGACAGCTCAGTGGATTTCACCCCCGATCGAGAGAATCTTCTTTGGCGCGTTTGTGTTTTTGGGGGGCTGGGCGCTTGCCAACCCACACGGACCCCACGAAAGGCTCCAATGAGATGTCTTTTCAGAGGACCCAAGGCATCCGAGCTGATTCGACTGGAAAAAAGTCCGAGGCCTTCCTACAACCTCACCCGATCTACCATCTACAACTCTCTGAAGTTGTCTTTTCCATGGCACTCCGTGAAGCTGGCCGAAGCCTCAGAGCTCCGATTCGGGAGTTCGGGAACCCCAAGGAAGCGAGGAAGATCGAGGAAGCGAGGCGGTGTTGGCTTGAACCAAAAAGGAGCCAAGCTGTGGGCCTGTGGGCCTGTGGGCCTGTTGGCCTGTTGGCCTGTGGGCCACTGGCGTCTTTGTCAAAGGAGTTCCGCTTTGGCAGGAATTCTCGCCAAACTTGCTCACTGCCCTCTTTAAGCCGGTTGAGAAAAAGAGGCTTTTCAATACCAGCCGCACCTATGTGTTGATTGAGAAATGGAGACCCCCAGCTGCAACCAACAGAAATGGCCACTCGTAGACACGCCACAGACACAGCGACCGGCGACCTAGGGCTGCCTCGTGGGCTCAGCATCGGGCGCCCTGTGGTGTTTCTACTACATGGCAAAGCAGCGCCGCTGGCTGAAGCAGGAGCCGCCCACTTTTTGTGTGCGGGGTGCCCGTTCCCTCAGAAACACTGGGCAACTGCGTATATGGGGCTAGGTTTTTGAGGCTGCCCTTATTGGAACTGCAAAATCACTTAGGTGCGCTGCACCGTTTCAGGTTCCAGTTCGACGTTTTTTTTCCGTCTTGATTCATAGACATCTACAGAGCCACCGAATCCGCCGTTGTTTCGCAGGAGTTTGTCCGCAACCACGGCCAAGAGCTGGTGGCCAAGGGCAACATTTGGGCTCCTCGGCTCAGGCAGAACTAAGCCCGGTGTTGCGCTGGTCTTTGGGCGGGACTTTGGGAGTTGCCCATCGCAGAGCGAGAATCAACTCTGCCAATGCTGCGGTAAAGATACTAAAGTTTCGCAACATGACGACCCTTCTCTGCTGTTCGGCAGTTATACTAAACCCCCTGAGTCAGACACGCCCTTGTCTACCAGCCAAAGAAACAACCAACAAACAACTCAACACAATTTGAAGTAACAGTATTAACTTACAAGAGAATATCTACATCTGCCAATGCTACTTCTTTGCCAATTTTTTGTATTGCCGTTCCGATCTCGATAAAATTAGCTAGCCAGAGAGAGCAAGTTTCTTTACAGTTTGTTGACAATCAAGGGACCTCCAAAAGTTCAGAACCTTGTCGACCTTGACAGCGGGAAGGGGGAGGGGGGGCTCAAATCAAGGCAATATTTATGGAGGTTGCACCCTTTTTCCTTGCCCAAACGACCCAGATCCGTTTTTTTTTTTTTGGCATAGTATTACTGAGATCCCTGGGTTCCACAAGAATAACCCATGTTTGTAAATTGCACCCCGTATTTAAGCCGTAGGTGCTCTAGGAATCCATAAACAGCAAAAACGATTTCAGCTGGTTTGCAAGGCACGATGGTTCACATGCCTGGACATCAACTACTACCTGCTGAAGACGCTGCTGGCTTTCCTGCTGCTGTGGTTGGTGAGGCAACGGCAGCTTGCTTCAGAACATGGCCTCCACCTGTGACCCTTTCTTCAAACACAGAAATTGGAGGTATGAAAACTGGGCTACCACCCCCCCCGACCCCGGCCCCGGTCGGCAAGAACAACAGAAGTGAACAGTTTGGTGGTTTTCCTGTTGGTTCCCAGGTGCCCTCAAAAAAGAAAGCACCAAGAGAGACCTTTTTTAGGCCAGCCATTTTCCGAGGATCGCCTGGTTCGAGAATCTCAAGTTGAAGGCGCGTGCTCCGGCCGGACTCGTCGAGAGACGCAGATCAAGGTCAGGGGACGAATACCGAGCTCAGGGTGAAACGAACTCACTGAAGGTCCCTTATGAATTATGCTATTTTGAAATTTGCGCAGAAGATCGGCTTGTTTGAGGATTGGTCAAAGGTGGCTTAGCCTTCCTCGGGGCAAGGAGGTTCTTGAGTGCAGCCATGTCAGTTGAGAAGGTGTCCGGAACTGAAAGAGACCAACTGATGATTCTCCCTTGATAAAACTACCTGGCGCCCAGGCTTGCATGATATTGCATGATACTAAGATGACATTGCACCTCTCCAAACTAGTTGGCCAACGTCGGGGCTTCACGCTACGCAGATGAGAGTGAACGCCTTCTGACAGTACCATCTCAACAGCTAGGCCCTTTGCAGAGGATCTGAGGACAGCCCAACTTGTGCAATCGCCTTATGGGGCGTGCAGGCCTCGTTTTGCCTCTGACCTAAGGCATTGACCAAAGCGACTGCCCCTACATCTTGTGATGCATCAAACCAGGCTCAGGCCCTTCTGAAACGGGAGCTGCGGGAAGGGACATAGCGCTGGCCCCAAAATCTTCATTGTGTGGAGATGTTCCCTCTGATTCCTGGGCCACCAATTGGCTAGCATTCTCTAGGCAACTTGAAAATAATGTGTTTCATAGTGCCCAGAAGTTTGACAAGGAATGAACGGTTTCGACCCCTGAAGGTTCATTCAAACTTGTTTCAGTTTCTATTTTGGGTTTGGAAGTGCAGTAGGATGGGATAGGGGATCGCACGAGTTTGTCCTAAACCAGGGAGAGTTTGTCCTAAACAAGGGGCGAATTCGCCGTGCAATCGAATTCGACGTGTCGAGGTTTGGCAAGTTAAGCGAGATGTGGAGATGGTGTCTTTCCTGGTCGGAGCGCCCTGGTTTCGATTTTCTTCGAATTGGGCGTGTCTCGAAGCTGAGAAGCTCCAATGGGGTGGGGCTTGACTTGGAGATGGAAATCCAGAGGTCTGGGACTCATAGAGTATTTTCTTGTCTCAACAGCAGGGTTGTGGTTTTCAGCTATCGGACCACTGGCACCCGGTATGCGGCTTCCTCATGATGGGAGTGAACGAGGCTTCCATGGGCTCGATGGGACTCTCCTTTAGTGCGCAATGCCACAATGCTTTGTAGTCCTTGAGGGAAAGCAAAAGAGGAAGGATACCTGCTCGTTTCTTCAACCCCGACATACCACCCAGTTGTTGCTGTTCAATTTCCTTTGGCGGCCCCGTCCCCGCGGCATTCTTTGATCGTCCCTCATCCAACAAAACCTATTCGCCCTATTCGCCTCTAGTGACCTCGACTTGAGAGTTAGGCAGTTCCTGAAAGCTGAGAGCTCATGCTCCCAGCTGTCCCAATACTAGGAAAGGGCCCCTCATGATGTTGGGCAACGAATCGATTGGGTTTCTTCCAGGACACATACATGTGTACCATCACTGGCTTCTTGGTTCACCCTGATTGGCTTGGCCAGTTTTTGTCGGTCCATTCGCGATGCTGCCAAGTGTCGGTGAGAAGTCTGATCTAGGAAAAGATCCGGCTGCGTTTCGCATGTGTTGCAAGATAAACTTGGGCCACCGCCTCGCACTTAAACCTTGTGTGTGTGTGTGTGTCTCTGAATTGATTCCGCCGCCTGATTTGCATGCAATTATGTAGGACTTTGAGGATTTGGCTTGGCGTCGCGGGTTGCGTTGGATTATTCGACCTGCGCACATGTTATTGCCATTTGCCTGACGCTAGAGCGCTGTTACATGAACTTGAATCACCCTTGGCGGATGGGTACGTTTGCTGAGGCTGTGTAACAAAAAATACGGTCCCATCACAATAGTTGAGTTCCTGAAGTTTCCCTTTGGCATCATCTAGGACAATACTCATGAGATCTCACGAGAGTCCATAGTTGTTTTGCATCAATAACTTTTTGCCGGTACATGTCATGATTTGGCATATAGGCAGCGCTCAGTTGCCCAATGCCGGCCTTTTGACCCTTCACCGTTACCCACTACGCCATGTGCAGCGGGCTTGTCTTCCAGTCTTCATTTCCGTGGCGTGAAAACCTTGAGACAAAGCACAAGTGGAGAGAATCCCCGAGCTTGCCTCCGGAGAAGGCGGACAAATGACGAAGGAAGGGCTGGCTTCCCAGCAAGCCACCTGCCGCACGATCTCTGGACCGCCACCACATCGCCAAAGACCCAAGAGACCCAACAACAGCAGCACCAGTAGATCTTGACCCCACATCCGAAGTGAATTCGCAATGACATGCAAGCAAAGTGAAGTTGCTAAGAGGCACAGTTCCAAGACAGTCTTTTTCTCAAAAGTGGGCAAATCATGACGGACGTTCGGGATACGCGAAACAACCTCCCAACAAGCAGCGAATGACAACCGCGCCCCACATTGCATGGATGTGTTTCGAGACGCCCGACATCGCACGATGGTTCACATGGGGCCTGATAGACACGCACCACCCAAAATGTGTCACTCCACAAAAAGGGGTGTGTGTTTTGGTTGAGGGTGCCCAGTGTTGGTTTCCATAGGAAACCCAGCGGAAAACCCACCCATTCCGTGGGTCCCATAGACATACGCCACCACCGGGCTGAGGCCTTCCTGACGGGCGATGAGGAGGTGACCATGCGCGCCAAGCACGACGTGCACCGGCCACTCGACGTACAGTGGAAGCCCTAAATATTGCAAGCGCCACCAATGCACATGTTGACACCACTTCTGTGGCATCGCCCGCTGCGTGCGGACCTCTCTCCCCCAGTTACAATGTTGAAGCCAAGCCTGTAACCCGTCTTCCGAGGCCCAATATATTGCAAGTTCAACATTGCATCAGGGGAAGGGGGGCCACAGATATCATGTCACAGTGCTTCCCTTAGTGGACCGTGCCCTTTGTTTTTCTGCTCCGCGCTTGCAATATTTAGGGCTTCAACCGTCTCGCATAGACTGTCCATCGTTTTTTGCGTCCGCGCCCGTCGCTCCGCGCCGTCTCTTTGTCTGCGTGCGAAGACTTTGGAGAGACTTGCCTTGCTCAGCCCACACACGTGTACAACCTGCAAGGGTTTGGAGACGCCTGCCTTCGCACAGGCATGCGCAACTTGTGAAACTTGGCCAGAACTCGTGCTGAAACTCGTTGGTATTTGCGTGAAGCTCGTGAAACTCATGAAACTTGGAAGAAAATAGCCCTTACTTCTTTTTCTTCCAAGTTTCACGAGTTTCGAGTTTCACGCGAATACCAACAAGTTTCAGGACGAGCTCTGGCCAAGTTTCACAACTTTCCAAAATTGCACGGACAAACTCAATGTTTGCCATAGTCGTAGATTGACTAGTTTACTGTAGTTTACTCCTTGCGGTGCCAGAGTTTGCATAGGGAGATGACTGCTCAGGGTCAGATGGTCAGCCTGCGGAGGATTGATCCTTGGGACCATACAAAAGACATGGGCGGCATATGTTAGTCTCAATGAATGTCTATGCATCGCTTGTCGCACTTTACCTACTTGCGGCGTTCAGTTTCCACCTCGACTGGTGGGCAGCGCAGTTTGAGCCTGTTTGTGCAGCTAAGAAATTCATTTGAGCGAAGTGCTTGATTGGATGTGTGGTCCCAAGTGCCAGGTGGCTCACGGCAGCACACTTCTGCAGCTACAAGAGTCTGAGCAGTGGCTTCAAGCAGTACGGCATCAGCCACCTGGCACCTTGGTAGTGAGTGTGCGCAGAGCATTTGAGGGGGTGCAGCTTGACACACACCCACATTGGGGGGATATGGGGGGATGAGATAGGGATGCTGTTTGGGTCCTGTCAATTTGTGCTGTTCAAGGTGCTCCGACAGAGTTGTAGGAGGGGATACTTCGCACTCCAACATTTATCCTCATATCAAAGATGGAAATAACCCTGTCCCGCTCCAAAATGCGAGTTTTTGAACAACTTACCCTTCAAGCGAACAAGTCAATATCGAAAGGCCTTCTGGTGGCATCTTGAGGCGGTAGCCTCGTTGAGAATCAACACAGCGACAAAAAGGGCAAGCCGCAAGCCCTTTTCCCTGGGACACCCACTTTGTTCTCATGTTTCCCCATGGAAATCCAGAGGTCTTCGCATTGCTCCAGTCGCTTAGGTCGAAGTGAACATTCTTAGCGAGGCGGAGGGCAAGTGCATCGAGAACTCCCTAGAGCGCATGCGGCATACCGGCGCCCGGGAAGAAACACCAACGCCCCGTGACACATGTCCCGTTGCAGACACAAACTGAAGGGATGGGATGGTCACCGTAACGTCACTGACACAAAACCATGTTTAGCACATATGTTACATTCTAAGGATCACTAGAATGTCGACCAGGATCATCGATGTTGTGATTGGCTGAAGAAGCAGAGGCGGAACATGGGTCAGCATTTGCGGCATACCCTCCCAACGTGAAAGCTGAAAGGCCTTCCTGGAAGATCACTTTCCTTCAACAGAGACCCTTGTTCAGGTTCAATATCTGTTTTGGGAGGGCACACGCTTAATTGTTTCTCGTAAACTGACAAGATGGAGCTATTTAAATCGGACGCGGAGAAGCCAAGGGTCGTTTTGAGGATAATTGAGGATACCTGTTTTGGAGTTGTGCTGGTGGGAAACTCAATGGACACCTCACTGTCGTTTTCTGTTTTTTCCTATTCTTATTACATACATATCTCCCGGCACAAGCCTTGCTTCCAACAGGTGTAGGCCTAGGCAAGGTCTACAGCCCATACATATCAACCGGCACAAGCCCTTCCAACAGGTGTAGGCCTAGGCAAGGTCTACAGCCCATACATATCTCCCGGCACAAGCCCTTCCAACAGGTGTACAGCCCATACATATATCCCGGCACAAGCCCTTCCAACAGGTGTACAGCCCATACATATCTCCCGGCACAAGCCCTTCTAACAGGTGTATGCCTAGGCAAGGTCTACAGCTAGGGCATGCATAGGCCTGGCCAGGACTAGCCTGCCCTGCCGACCCTCCTTCCGTAGGCCTAGCCAAGCCCACCGACCCCCCTTCCGTAGGCCTAAGCCAAGGCCCACCGACCCCCCTTCCATAGGCCTAGCCAAGGCCTACCCGGCCTACCGACCCCCCTTCCGCAGGCCTTGCCAAGCCCACTGACCCCCAGTCCACAGGCCAAGCCAAGCCTACCGACCCCCTTCCAGAAGCCTATACCAACCCTCTGCGGAAGACCTCAGCCCGTATGCATGCAATGTGATGTAATGTAAGGTAAGGAAAGGTAAGGTGAGGTAGCGTATGTAATCATGTACTTATGTATGTGTGTAATCATGTAGTGATGTATGTATGTCATATGTATGAATGTATGTAATGTATGTAATGTATGTAATGTATGTAATGTATGTAATGTATGTAATGTAATGTAATGTAATGTAATGTAATGTAATGTAATGTAATGTAATGTAATGTAATGTAATGTAATGTAATGTAATGTAATGTAATGTAATGTAATGTAATGTAATGTAATGTAATGTAATGTAATGTAATGTAATGTAATGTAATGTAATGTAATGTAATGTAATGTAATGTAATGTATGTATGTATGTAATGTATGTATGTAATGTATGTATGTATGTATGTATGTATGTATGTATGTATGTATGTATGTATGTATGTATGTATGTATGTATGTATGTATGTATGTATGTATGTATGTATGTATGTATGTATGTATGTATGTATGTATGTATGTATGTATGTATGTATGTATGTATGTATGTATGTATGTATGTATGTATGTATGTATGTATGTATGTATGTGTATGTATGTATGTATGTATGTATGTATGTATGTATGTATGTATGTATGTATGTATGTATGTATGTATGTATGTATGTATGTATGTATGTATGTATGTATGTATGTATGTATGTATGTATGTATGTATGTATGTATGTATGTATGTATGTATGTATGTATGTATGTATGTATGTATGTATGTATGTATGTATGTATGTATGTATGTATGTATGTATGTATGTATGTATGTATGTATGTATGTATGTATGTATGTATGTATGTATGTATGTATGTATGTATGTATGTATGTATGTATGTATGTATGTATGTATGTATGTATGTATGTATGTATGTATGTATGTATGTATGTATGTATGTATGTATGTATGTATGTATGTATGTATGTATGTATGTATGTATGTATGTATGTATGTATGTATGTATGTATGTATGTATGTATGTATGTATGTATGTATGTATGTATGTGTATGTATGTATGTATGTATGTATGTATGTATGTATGTATGTATGTATGTAATGTAATGTAATGTAATGTAATGTAATGTAATGTATGTATGTATGTATGTATGTATGTAATGTATGTATGTATGTATGGTATGGTATATGGTATGGTATGGTATGGTATGGTATGGTATGTGTAATGAATGTAATGTATGTATGTATGTATGTATGTATGTAATGTAATGTAATGTAATGTAATGTAATGTAATGTAATGTAATGTAATGTAATGTAATGTAATGTAATGTAATGTAATGTAATGTAATGTAATGTATGTATGTATGTATGTATGTATGTATGTATGTATGTATGTATGTATGTATGTATGTATGTAATGTATGTATGTAATGTAATGTATGTGTATGTAATGTATGTATGTATGTATGTATGTATGTATGTATGTATGTATGTATGTATGTATGTATGTATGTATGTATGTATGTATGTATGTATGTATGTATGTATGTATGTATGTATGTATGTATGTATGTATGTATGTATGTATGTATGTATGTATGTATGTATGTATGTATGTATGTATGTATGTATGTATGTATGTATGTATGTATGTATGTATGTATGTATGTATGTATGTATGTATGTATGTATGTATGTATGTATGTATGTATGTATGTATGTATGTATGTATGTATGTATGTATGTATGTATGTATGTATGTATGTATGTATGTATGTATGTATGTATGTATGTATGTATGTATGTATGTATGTATGTATGTATGTATGTATGTATGTATGTATGTATGTATGTATGTATGTATGTATGTATGTATGTATGTATGTATGTATGTATGTATGTATGTATGTATGTATGTATGTATGTATGTATGTATGTATGTATGTATGTATGTATGTATGTATGTGTATGTATGTATGTATGTATGTATGTATGTATGTATGTATGTATGTATGTATGTATGTATGTATGTATGTATGTATGTATGTATGTATGTATGTATGTATGTATGTATGTATGTATGTATGTATGTATGTATGTATGTATGTATGTATGTATGTATGTATGTATGTATGTATGTATGTATGTATGTATGTATGTATGTATGTATGTATGTATGTATGTATGTATGTATGTATGTATGTATGTATGTATGTATGTATGTATGTATGTATGTATGTATGTATGTATGTATGTATGTATGTATGTATGTATGTATGTATGTATGTATGTATGTATGTATGTATGTAATGTAATGTAATGTAATGTAATGTAATGTAATGTAATGTAATGTAATGTAATGTAATGTAATGTAATGTAATGTAATGTAATGTAATGTATGTATGTATGTATGTATGTATGTATGTATGTATGTATGTATGTATGTAATGTAAGTAAGTAAGTAAGTAATGTAATGTATGTAATGTAATGTAATGTAATGTAATGTAATGTATGTATGTATGTATGTATGCATGTATGTATGTATGTATGTATGTATGTATGTCAATGTAATGCAATGTAACGTACTGTACTGTAATGTAACGTATGTATGGAATGCAATGCAGTGTAATGTAATGGAGTGGAACGGAACCGAATGGAATGTAGTGTATGCATGTATGTGTGTGTATGCATGCATGCATGCGTGCAATTATGAATGTATGCATACATGTGTGTTTGCATGTTTGCATGTATGTGTGTATGTGTGTATGTGTGCTTGCATGTATGTGTGTATGTTTGTATGTACGTATGTACGTACGCACGTATGCAAGCCGCCCAGACAGCTTGCGCTAAGCTTTGAATTGCCTCTCCAAACGAGGCCTCACATTGCCTGCGTCTTGCTCTCACATGCGACTTCCAGCGCAACAAATACTGCGACGCAGGCGTTGCATGTCAAAATGCGCCGTTGCCGTGCGCGACTCTTTCTTGTCGTTCCCTGGCGGCGTGCTACCTGCACGCTCGTCCCCGGCCGGCTGAGTTCGCGCGTTCTGGATCGCTTTTTGCGATTTTCTTTTAGGCCTGCCTCCGCTTGCGTTGGCCTGTCCTAGGCCTACCCAAGGGGTCCCCGTAGCCCTACATTAGGCCTGTCGAACCCCATCACGTAGCCCTCTTCTGGGCTGGAGCCCTGTCTGTGGGCCTGCTCTTGGCCTGCTGTAGGACCAAGAAACTCGTCCAGTGTCTACCGAAGGCCTACAGAACCCCGTCCCTTCGGCCTTGTTCCCAAGGCATACACACCTCTCTGCTACGCCCTCTCATAGGCCTATCGAACCCCTTGCCTAATGAAGCACAGTTTTGGGTATCCCCTAACAAGGTGGCGCGCAATGCCAGCGGTTTCGGAAAAGGGGTGCATAATTGTGTCGACATATCGGGCTGATTTCCTTAATTTGCAAGCCTTTGCAACCAATTGAGGGAGTCTTCTTTTAGGGGACCCCCAAAATGGGTGGTTTACCTTTTGGTCTCCCTTCAAAACAGCAAAAAGGAGGGCACCCTCAAAGAAAGACACACCCAACTAGCGACAAGCTGACAAGTAGTTTTCGCGATTGCGCACGCAGGCCGCTACCTCCTTCCCAACATACGCGCATGAAATAGGTCCTTCTTGTGATGGTTTTGACGGGAAACCAATGGGAACAGCACCCCTAAAACAAACAGAGACAGTACCAAAATATGATTTTATCGGATTTGGTGACAGATTTCGTCCCTTGACTGGTGTCCCCTGAGAGAAAGAGTCACTTTTTTGAACACAAATGGGCAGTTTCAACATAGCAAGAATCAGTCGGGTGTGAGGGCGCTGAAACAGGCGATTTGCTTGCAGAATCGATCTTTGATTGAGCGGAGCATTCTGACAGTGGGATGTGTGCACTTTGACACACACGTCCAGTGAAAAATGTCCCGATAGTAGCATGAGTCAAAGATTGAGGGCTGGTCAGCCGTTCAACATCTCACGTTGGGAGTTCTGTGTTTTCAATCGCCACGCTTGGGATCAAATGGGGAGACCACTGCAACATGTGACCTGGCCACGGGAGTTTCGCTGGCGCCGAAGGCAGTGGATGTAGATGCTTACAATCCGATGTATGGGGTGCTCCGAGCCTCTAAATATGACCAAACCAAAATACCCAATGGATAGCAAGTTGTTGCTTTGGCTTCTTCCTTCGGCCCCAATTTCTACCCATTGGAGCAAGCCTGCGACTTTTGCTCCTGGCACTCAACCCGATGCCAACTCAGGCGTGATCCTCGCAGAACCCTGGCAGATCGAGCAGTGGCGCATGCTCGAGTCGATTTCCCCGTGCAATTGCTTGAGATGGATGTGGGTCAAAATTAAGCAATTAGGGGATAGCAGGTTTTAGTCTTTGGTTCCATTTACCAGGGTTCCATTTTGGGTACCTACTTTTGACCCACAGCCAGATGTCTATTATGGGCCACGAACCAATGCGCGGACATGCCTTTTTATTCCAGGTTTACGGTGTCCATGAGGTGTCACAAAAACAATCAGGTACACACGCGGTGTATGTGTGTGGCATAAACACGAGAGAGTAAACCAGACAAAGGCTTGTGCAAGGTCAGCCTGCGCTGCAAGTAGTTATGGAGTTGATTGCCCTTGCAGCTATTGCTATCTATGCTTATTGAACTTGATGTTTCCTTTACATAGCAATGTTCTAGTTGGTGGGGGCGGTGCCAGTTCAAAGCCGTGACTGTTGCGTCTCATCGGGTTGGAAGGAGGAGTCGCTGGCTTCCTGTCTCTTTGGGGACCCCCCAACAAAGCATTCCAGCTTGGACTAAGGGATATAACAATGTGCGTGGCATCCGAAAGGAGCCCGTTTACTTAGAACCCATTCTTTGGAGTTTATTTTTGTTGAAGGTCTGCGGTTTTAAAAGGAAACCACAAGGAAAACCACAATTTTGGAGGTTCCCGCAAAAAAAGACACACGCATTTAGTGTCACCCAAATGACACCTGACAGGTTCAGAGTTCAGTGAAACATTTGCAGTCAAGGACACTTACGATCCGTCTATTGATGGGAAAACAACAACGCTTTGATGGGGTGTCACCGTGCGCTTTTTCGGTCAACACGCAAGGCGCTTCTTAATCCCACAGCCTCTCAGGGTCCGGAAAGGCTTTCGGATCGCAGTTGGCTTGTGCGAGCACTTCGCGCGAGAGTTTGCAGAATGGCATCAAGCCCAGGCACTACATGAGTGCGTGTGCTTACCACTTGGCAGGCGTGGATACACACCGGGTGCGCTTAGGCGTGGATACAGTGCTGAGCGGGTGCACTTGAGCGGGTGTACTTGAGCGGGTGCGCTTAGGCGTGGGTACAGTGCGAGCGCGTGTACTTGAGGAGGTGCGCTTCGGCGTGGGTACAGTGCTGAGCGGGTGCGCTGGAGCAGGTGCACTTAGGCGTGGATACAGTGCTGAGCGGGTGCACTTGAGCAGGTGTGCTTAGGCGTGGGTACAGCTGCTGAGCGGGTGCGCTTAACCGCAAGAAAGTACAAACCGTCCGCTCTTGCCGCTACGAACTTGTTCTCTCCGGCGGGGTGTCGCGGCGCGGTTGTTTTTGAGAACCCTTCCCCAAAGGTGTGGCACGTCACGTGCCGTTTTCGACGGCCTGCGATAAAGATCCGACACGCACGCGCTGCAGCACTGTATCTACGCTTGCCAAGTGGTAAGCACGCCAGAGCCGGTCTGGCACGAAAGTTCAACGCTCGATTTCCTGCGGCGCGCCCTGACTTGAGCGCGAGTTGTAAATCGGCAGCCGGCAACATGGTTGGTGTCCGATTTGAGTTTACCCTAAACATTGAGGGAACTGCAAAGTGAGCGGTTTCCCTTTCACTACTTCCCTTAAAAGTCGCATCATCCCACAAGGTCACAAGCATCATTGTTTGGTTTCAAGCCTACCACAGAGGAGGGCCCAATCCCACAGGACACGAGCCGTTGAATGGTCTGAGACGAGGGAACTTGACAGGTAGGTTCATTGCAGCACTGAAGCTGGCCTTTCCGCATGGCTGCAAGGCGAAGCTGTGAAGCCGTTTCGTTTCATTTGAGGGAAACCCAATTACCCTTCCTCGCAACAGTGGGTGTGATAAGCCAGTGTTGTTTCGCAGGGTTCTTGATACAAACATGGTGGCACTTGTGCCACTCACATTTGCGGGCTGTTTGGGTTTAGACATCGTTTCGGTGACGCATGTGACGTTTCATTCATTTGTCACAGGGCATGTCATGCACGTGAGGTCAGCCACGCGGTTGCCAAAACCCAGTGAATGGCTTGTCTGATGGTTATCTCAGGATACGGCGGTCGACACTGGATTCGTGCGCCGCAGCACCGTAGTGAAGCCTCAAGCGCCCCAGCTGTACTACACGTGTGTCTCTTCGATCGGCGACCCAAATCTGAATCTTTGGAGGTTTTGTAGGGTGTCCCAAATGGTTCAAGCATGGAATGAGTTGGAATGACCACCTTGTGGCCGAAAGTGAGCCAGCCTCTTGTAGATCCTTTCACCCAAAACCCCGAAATTGATTCCAAAGCTTTCTCCCCTCCCGATCAGGGTCTCCAAAATGTCTTTAGATTTTAGCGAAAGTCGAAGCAGAATCTGCAACAACAAAACAAGCACATTTTCATACCCCAAACCATGGTCAGGTGGGGGAACATGGGGGCCCGCTGGATTTGTGTGCCTCCCTTTCCCGGATCAGCTCACTCATAGCTTGCCGAGATGAATCCTTATCAAGTGAAGATCAATCTAGTCATCAGAAACACCGGCTTCTAAGGACGGGTTTCTTCTTTTGTGACCCACATGATTCCCTTTGCCATGTGTGGTCGCCAACGTGTGAATGAACTGAAGTTTGAGATTGTGTTGGTTTGATGTTCGCCCGATACCAAGCAATCTAGATTTCCGCGTTGCAGCGCTGTGTCGGGCGCTTTTCATGGGCATCCCGCCCCACACTCTCGAAAATTGATGTTTGATGTCCAGAGAGTCGCGGTGAGTGAATCCACTGCAATCCACCCTTTGCTAGCGTTGGTGTGAAGAGGCATGGCCGCCCAGTTCGATTCCTTTAGGACGTCGGCTTTCCAATTGGGAGGCCAAACAACTCATCTTAATTTGCAGTGGTCCTGAGGCAAGGCGGATGTAACTTTTGGCCTATCTTTCGGTCTTTGGGCCAAGTTGGCAGATATTTTTGTTGACGGGTCTGTAACAGAGCCCTTTGTAACAGACCCACTGGCTCGTTGCACACCCTCGTTACACACACACACACGCACGCACCCACCCACACCCACCCACCCACCCACACACACACACACCCACGCACACACACACACACACACACACACACACACACACACACACACACACACACACACACACACACACACACACACACACACACACTCTTGTTGCACACCTGGTTGCAGGCCCCTCGTTCCATACCCCAATGCGTGCACATAATTTCAGTGATTTTCCACGCGTTCGCGTCAGTGATACCCCACGCATGGGCCTGCAGAGCAGACTTCGACAGAGCATGGTTTGGCTGAAGAGTCAACCTGCAGAGAGCTTGCCATTCAAATGAAAAGTTGGAGCAGTCGGCTACACCTCGTTACAGACCCAACCCCAGCCTCCCAACTCCCCTTTTTGCCACCGCGGGGCTTGTGTTGAATAGCTGCGATCAAGCTGGAGCTGCGGAGGCGCGTTTTGCGTACTGCGCTTTGCTTTGCCTCGTTACAGACCTCGCTAAATAGCTGTCACATACCTCGTTGAAGACCCAACCCCAGCCCGGGCCCGCGACCCCCAGTTTTCGCGAACGTTGGCCTGTGAAGGAACATGGGTTATAAGGCCAATATTGCTGTGAGAGGCATACGAATATTGCTGTGAGAGGCATACGTCCAAAATGTTGGTTCGACAAACAACTGCATGTTCGACAATTCCCCTGCGATTAAATCACGCCAAGTCACGCCCAATCACGGCGTCCGACACAGTCATAGACTCCGATGGGCCCAATGTTGCCAAACTGTTGCTACATACCGAATGTTGCTCTGAGAGGCCTACACTTGAACGTTAGTAAATTCGACCAACATGGAGTGTGTGGGAATAGCTGCAGCCAAGCTGGAGCTGCGGACGTACACTTTGCATACTGCGCTTTGCTTTGCCTCATCACAGACCTCGTTACGTAGCCGTTACATACCCCGTTCCAGACCCAACCCCGGCCTGGGCCAGTTGACCCCCCTTTTTTCCATCGCTTGGCTCTGTGTCGGCAGTTGCAAATTTCAAGCTAGAGCTGCGGAGGCGTGTTTTGCGTACTGCACTTGTACTGAAGAGTTGCGACTCTCGAGCGGGAGCTGCTGCTCTTCGCCAGATTGTGCTATCTTAACATGCTTTCCGTTACAGACCTGCGTAACAAGGACCTCCGTTACAGACTTCCGTAACAAGATTCGTGGCGCGTCGCGCGTCGCGCGTTACAGACGCTCAAAAAACATCATAGTCAGTTGATGAGAGAGGCTATCCCAACCCCCCCCCCTCCGACCCGTCGGTAAGAAGGTGTCGTCGAACCTTTCCTTGCGTGGTCTCTGGGTTTGGAGTGGCTCACTCAAGCTGTCTGCACCCCAGGTCCGTGGGCCCAGTTGGGTTTGGTTTTAGCATGGTAGGCCAGTGGTCCAAAACCAAGCCAGGCTGAAGCAACAAGGTACATGTTCGTTAGCAGTCGCTGGGATCAGAACGAAAGTCTCAACTGCTGCGACCAGTTTTGTTTTGCCCCAGTGGGATGAAGTCATTTTTGTTCTCGGGATTACCTCTCAAAGAGAAGACGAGACCTGGACTATGATCAATAATGGGGGCTGCAGTTGTCTCCCCTGGAACAGCCGTGGCGAAAATGGCCAATAGGTATCACAGGGCATGCTTGAGTCGACTCCGTCGTGTTGGCCGGAACCCCCGTGTTTTTTTGCGCCAAAACGAAATGTTCAGCATGGGAAGCTTTTGCCTAGGATCTGAACTATCGAAGAGCTGCAGACATGGAGAGGCGCTGTTCCTGTGAGAGAGTTGTTCGTGCATGGCCAATCTCAACGAATTTCCAGACGTGGCAGGGATGCATCATTCCTCTGTGCAAGATTCCTTAACTCGCGATAAGATCAAATTCCAGTTTGCAGGATCTCAGAAGGTTTAGTCGACTTGGTCATTCCACAATGGCCTGCTTGCTGCAGCATGTCTCGCATGGGCATTCAAGCAGGAAACCACTCAGGCATGCTAGTCGAAAAGCATCAGACAGTTTTGCTCGCAGGAACACAAGCAGGAACTTTGTTCGCGATGGCGACGATTCCCGGCCCCGGCCAGAGGAGCGGATATGTCGGCCTTCCCCAAACGAATCCAAGTCCGAATGGATGGGTGTGCCCCGTTTTTGGAGGCTACGTTTTCCACCAAGACCGAAAACCCATTTTTGGGGCACCCCCTATTTTCGCACGGATGTTGTCCGAATTCTCTGAAGATACTCCGGTCTCAGTCGGCAGGTGCAGGGTTTGGGTACCCATTTTTTGAGCCACACATATTGAAATCGCTACGCGATCCGCCGACGCCAGTGGGGTGCAAGGGATTTTAAGCCCCTTTTTGTTTTTTCAGGGAAGTCTTGCTTGTTGGCACGAGATGATAGAACGTCTGAATTTGCAAGTTTACATACATTTCTCCATAAAAAATGCTGGAAATGCAAGGGCGCAAAATTGACCAAACACAGAAAATACCAGAGATGCCGGGAATGCTGGGAATGCAGCTGGCTGGCCACAAAAAAGTCCCAAAAACCATGTGTTTTTTTTGATATTTCCTAAAATCAACAATCAACAGCCGGTACTAGCAACTCCCCTCAAATACCCTAGAAATAGACTTCCAAAAGCACGATAATGCAGGGGATGTTTCGCAGTAACTGCTCCGTACAGGTGGGGAATTGCAAAAAACACTCATTTTTTGCAAATTCAAACAGTTCCTCAACGTATCACTGCACTTGGCCCCACCCAGACCCCTAGCAGGCCGATTCCAACATCGCTTGAAACAGCAAAACGCCATTAGTATCTACAAAAAGAAGAGACAAATTCATAGCAGCAAGGTAATCCTGATGATGCTGGGGATGCAGATCCTGCGCGTCGGGGGAACCCCCCCCCTTAGAGACCTAGGCGAAACGCAGATCTTTAGCACGCAAGCCACAAAAACACTGGAAAATTACAGGGTTTTGGACACCCAGCACACCATGCCCAAAAAATGGCAGCCCCAAAAGCCTTCGGCTTTGATAAGAGATCCGAAGGAAGACCAAGTTCCGGACTGCCATCTACACGCTCGACTGGCGTCGGCGGATTTCACTCCCCCCTTTGCTCCCCCCTTTCGGCCCAGTTTTTGGCATAGACACGCTTGAACTGTTCAACCCAACGAAAAGCCGAAGGCTATCGTTATAGATAGCTGGCAAGTCCCCTTATGGTTCTGACCTGGTGCCGTAATTTGAGTGGGCATCTAAGAAACTGGTGTGATATGTTGCCACACACTGTCGTGTAGAAACTGTATTTCGCTGGTTTCTATGAGGGCATGGTGATCCTCCCCTCTACTCATGTCCTGCTTGGGAAGCCTCTTGTCGACTTCCGTGCGGGCAATCCAGCAGCCAAACGGCCAGGAGATGGAGCTGGAGAGCAGCCAAACGGCCCAGGACCACCTCCTCTGGTGGGTGCAGCTGCGGATCCTCGCAGCGGCCCGCTATTCCAATTGGCCCTTCTCACGAGGGGAACTGATAAAACCTGGCTGTCCAAAGGCCCTGATCAAGCCAGAAAAGAGAGCTACGAGGGTTCCCACTGCAGCAACCATCAATGGCACGTGGATGGACAAAGATTGGTTTTGGTCAAGAACCAGGGAGCTGAACCGCCTGCAAAGGCCTCAAAGACAAGCTGGATCTTTGAAGTACCTGTGGATATCCAGTTCGCATCAGTTAGGTTCCCGGTATTAAAATCGTGTTTTTGTTTCCATTCCAACTGGTGCGAAGTGGATTTCGTCTATTTCAGTATTATATGCACATTTCGCGATCTTGTTCCAGCATATGCAACATTCTGCCAAAGATGTGAGGATAGGGCTCGGAAGACCAACTCAAAGGGTTCACTGAGGTCACCAGAAAACAGCGATTCGCCCTCATCTACCCTGGTAGTGTTGTCCTGCTGTTTCCATGGATGACCAATGGGGTGCCTATGGGATGTCTGCGGACAGATCCGGACTTGGGATTGGCATCCCCAGACCGCCCCTGCCAGCTTGATCTTTTGAAATCAAATGCTCCAAACCTCAAGATGGTCACATCTGGGAAGATTGGTGACTGGTTTCCTTTGTTATCGGGGCCAAATTTCTATGGAGCAACCCTGATTCAATTTTATCGGTGCCCGTTTTCCACACGGCCACGCCGACCTCTCACAGACCAAAGTCCAAAGCCGAGCATTGGCACCTTACTGGGGTGTGGTATTGCCATTGTAGGTGAACAGGTGTCAAAGCTGGAGGTACTGATACCAGGTTACTGACCAGTACTACCTGGTTACCTACTGCAGCCCTACCCATTGCGGAAGACTGGGTTGAGGTTGCCGCTTTCTGTGATAGGCGAATCCCCTCAAAAGAAAACAGTCTAGAATCTTTCGGATGGGAATTTTGGCAGGCGGCAGGCCTCTTATGAGACGCTTAATTTGTGGTAAAGTCGCTGGGGGATGGACCCAGCCACAATGAAGCTCCCGTGTGGATCCCTCATTTCAGCTGATGATTGATGGAAGTATCGGAGTGTCCCAAGAAACAAACCATGGTAGCAAATACCATCGATGAACTGCATAGCCACTTATCTGATCGTATCTGATCAAGCCTTCGAGCTACTTGATATGCGCAACCCTTGAACCAGTGGTTCCAGATGACCAAGCATCAACAGCCGAGATCGGCAAAGCGAGTCTGCAATATTAAACTCGCAAGCCAAGTTGGCCAAGCTTCCAGTCCAAACCAGGTGGAGTCCAAGCTCGGTCCACAAGTTCCGCCGTATCCAAGGCTGTAAAGGAGAAGCTCATGGACAAGGACAAACTGACGCTTAGGCAGATGACGTGTGTTTCTTGCAAATCAAGAGCGCCCCAATTTTAAGAAACACCCACCAAGACCCTCAGCATAGAACTTCCTAAGGTAAAGCCAGCTGCCCCACGACAAATGTCCTTTGCTAAAGATCTCTCAGCTCTGATTGGGGCGTCCTAGTGATTTGCCCAGATGAGTGGCCTTTGTACCATTTCCGAGGAAGAAGATCTTGGGCGCCCTTTGGAACGCCCGCGATGCCATGGCCGACCTGCAGAACGAAACCAACCGCAAGTTCATCTTCGTGTGGGCTGCTTGGACTCAAAAACCCGCATGGGAATTGAGTCGTAAGCTGGGCCAACGCTGAGCGTTTCGGGTTGCAGTCAGAAGCTTGGGCCCTTCCCTCTGCCCCAAACCGAATCCTTTTGACCTTTGTTGACAACCTGATCCATATGTTGTCATACAGCTCTCTTTTCAGGACTTGTAGGCTAGTGAGTTTAAGATCTTTAGCCTGCTTGGTGGTGCCGTTAGTCATGAGGCCAAGAAGACCCCAGACCTCCAGTAAAGGCCTCTTGTCTATTTGATGAGTTTCTTGTAGAGAGAAACTAACTAGCCTAGAAATACACGTACATTCAATGCATGCCTTCTTTTTTCCGCAAACCTGCCACTGCGACCAACCATCGGGGCGGTTTGGGTCGCCCATTCACGACTGCGGTGGGCCGGTGAGCGTTTGTATTGTGCACTCTTCTGCTTTATGTAGGGTTTGGTCAAAACCTTTCTGTTTGGTTCAGCCAGTGGGCCATGTAATTGTGTTTCCTCTCAGGATCAGACAAAGAGGGAGAGGGAGAGAGACCAAAAAAACAGGTGAGCCAGTCATCGGATTGTTTGCCTTAGGTGACGGTCATGCAGCTGATGGTGGATTTCTTTATCGTGCTGCTCCCATTCCACGCGATTTGCGCGAACTTCTATCCCCACATTTGGCTTCTTCCCGCCGCCATGCTGGAATGTCGGGTCCCCAAACCTCAGATTCGGATCGATTCCGCGTGAAGTCTCTACGCCAGTGGATCTTGATCCGATGTCTGCGGTGCGTGGCAACTGCCTCGGATCCGGTTTGTTTGTTTTTTGGCGAAGGCTTCACGGTGACCGTCATCTACGAAGCTTGGCGGCAATTCGAGCAGTTGGCCTCGCCAAAGGTCGCACGCAATTCTAGACCTAAAGGGCCAATGAAGGCGAGTCACCCGTGAGTTGACCCCGAAAAACACGAAATTTCTGCAGACCAAGTGTTATCCAGGACGCCATCCACCAGATTACCGTCATCCTCTTTGAGCCTTTCGGCTTGCTGCACGTAGACTCCTTGAACCTGGACCCTGTCCTAGCCTGAAGCTAAGCGGGGGGTGCATCATGTTCTGTCTTGCTGTCACAAAGAAATGGCCGCATGCTGTATAATTACACAAAGAGAAAGAGAGCAACACTAAGAAAGACCATGAGCACGAAATATGGTAATTACCCCTCTAGGCACCATGTGTGCTTTGCTCCAGAAGGGCCTGATGGCGCTGAAGCGGTGAAGCCAGCGACACTGGCTTCCTCTCTTAGCGACATGCGACTGACACGTGGCCTTCGCATGTCTGCATAACATTGTGTGGCAGAGAAGGTACCCGCACCCAGCTTGTAGGTGCCACACAAAAGCCGCATCCCAGGCGTCCAAGAGACTCCTTCAATGCACTATGCTGAGAAGTCACCCGCTCGCATGTTGACATGTCCTGCCTTAGCAAGAAGGCCCCTTCAACTATGGCCAATCTAGACTCAACGTGCTTGGTCACCAAATTGAGACCAACTCGTTGCAAACTGTCATAGTCGTCATTGCTTGTCCCTGGCAAGTGTTAGCAAGCTGGAGGCTCATGGGTTGTCCTGCGCCTTGCAAGCCCTTCAACCATTCTAGGGGCAAACGCTGAAAATTGAGAAGGCGGCTTTTCCCGACCAAAAGGAGACTTCTCCAGCATAGAGCAAACTCCCGAGCTTTGCGCTTCAGCTGATTTGGGCGGATGTTTTTGTTGCCGTCTTCTGCAACATGTGTCTCGATTCTCTTCAGAGACAACCTCCCCATCCGCATCGAGGTCCTGGCGGAGCGGTGCACCTTCGCCAACTTGGGGCGCACGGAAAAGGACGACATCCCTGAGCCGCTGCTACAGCCGGAGCCCCAGATCTGGATCGATCCGGGACACGGAGTGGGCATTGTTGAGGCTACCCGAAGGGCGGGGTTCCTTTTGGCAAAAGGCTTTCCTTTTGTCAAGGCAACTGGATCCTAAGAGTTGAGTCGGGTCGACCATTGACCCAGCGCTTCTCTCTTTGCGGGAAGCAAAACTGCGAACTCTCGACTCACAACATTTCCATCGCATTGAGCTCATAGGAAATCAACCCACAACGACAGAGTAGTGCCTTCTAATCATTTAGGACCCTATGTTGCTCTCCTTCAATATCCTTCAATCATGGACGTTGACAGGGCGTTGGACTACAGTCATCTAGAAAAGGCCTGTGCACTTCCCATGACTGGGCAGAAGGTTTTTCCCCATGACAACGGAACCACCAAGAGGGGTTTCCCCTTGCAAAACCATCGTGTCGGAAGAGCGGATATTCTTAGCCAGGGTGCCACGTGACTATCCCCGCACGTGCTGACCCTGACTCCAGCCTGGTGGCGTGCTGTTTGTTTGACTCTACATTTAAAGTTATTTCTGCTGAGCCAAGATTGAACCATGCCCCGGCCACTAACAGTGGATGATGCTTAGACAACTGGGTATGGGTCAAAATTAAACTACCATAAACGCGCAGGTTTTAGTCCTTGTTTCCATCTACTAGGGCAACCCATGCTGGGTACCTATGTTCGACCCACACCCAACTCAAAGCAGGTTCCTGAAGGACAAATTGAGTTTAAGGCTTCAGGTTCCACCCAGATCAGATCTGTGTATGTCCATTAGGTCCTCCAAATGCGGTGCCTAAATGTTGAAGGCGCATGTTTCCTGCCAGCCGCTTCGATGACTAACTTCGGTTCCAGCGCGGAAATATGTTCCGTGCAAGGATCTGGCTGAAGTCAAAAGCCGTGAAGGATAAGGACAAAGACGATGATGATAAGAAGGAGAAGAGCCTTGGGACAAGGATTGCGGCGTTTTTGTTCAGACCTTTGCAGGCGTATTATGGAGAGTCCAGCTGGTCAGGAGCCGTGCCTTTCCCATTGCTGGTCAGAAGGAAGCCACAATACGTGTAATGTGCCATGCTCCATGACCAATTGGAGTTACAATGGCGCACATGGTGAAGTAAATCCTGGGGGAAGCATGCGGTGTTACATGAATATGTTATGGGAGGCGGCAACTCAAACACGGTCCACCAATGAAGATCAGCCAAGTCACTCGCGTGCCGCGTACATGCCACCCCACTTATCCTCCTGGCTGCTAGCCACTGGTATGGCATGCAAGGTGCACTGCAGTGTGCTTTGTGCAGAATTGCGAGTCGCACATGTTTTGCCCCTCATGACTTGGAATGCAGAAAGTATGGCAAGCCCTTGCTTTGAGGCATAGCTGTTTGTGTTCGGATCAACGGACACGGAAAGGCAGCTGGGCCACTTGCCAACCAACTGATTGTCATGCAGCGTGACGCCTCTTGCATTTGAGGAAAGAGAAAAAAGACAAAGATGAGAAAGGCGAAAAGGGAGACAAGGCGGAGAAGGAAAAGGACAAAGACGATGATGATAAGAAGGAGAAGAGCCTTGGGACAAGGATTGCGGCGCGTTTGTTAAGACCTTTGCAGGCGTATTATGGAGAGTCCAGCTGGTCAGGAGCCGTGCCTTTCCCATTGCTGGTCAGAAGGAAGCCACAATAAGTGTAATGTGCCATGCTCCATGACCAATTGGAGTTACAATGGCGCACATGGTGAAGTAAATCCTGGGGGAAGCATGCGGTGTTACATGAATATGTTATGGGAGGCGGCAACTCAAACACGGTCCACCAATGAAGATCAGCCAAGTCACTCGCGTGCCGCGTACATGCCACCCCACTTATCCTCCTAGCTGCTAGCCACTGGTATGGCATGCAAGGTGCACTGCAGTGTGCTTTGTGCAGAATTGCGAGTCGCACATGTTTTGCCCCTCATGACTTGGAATGCAGAAAGTATGGCAAGCCCTTGCTTTGAGGCATAGCTGTTTGTGTTCGGATCAACGGACACGGAAAGGCAGCTGGGCCACTTGCCAACCAACTGATTGTCATGCAGCGTGCCGCCTCTTGCATTTGAGGAAAGAGAAAAAAGACAAAGATGAGAAAGGCGAAAAGGGAGACAAGGCGGAGAAGGAAAAGGACAAAGACGATGATGATAAGAAGGAGAAGAGCCTTGGGACAAGGATTGCGGCGCGTTTGTTAAGACCTTTGCAGGCGTATTATGGAGAGTCCAGCTGGTCAGGAGCCGTGCCTTTCCCATTGCTGGTCAGAAGGAAGCCACAATAAGTGTAATGTGCCATGCTCCATGACCAATTGGAGTTACAATGGCGCACATGGTGAAGTAAATCCTGGGGGAAGCATGCGGTGTTACATGAATATGTTATGGGAGGCGGCAACTCAAACACGGTCCACCAATGAAGATCAGCCAAGTCACTCGCGTGCCGCGTACATGCCACCCCACTTATCCTCCTGGCTGCTAGCCACTGGTATGGCATGCAAGGTGCACTGCAGTGTGCTTTGTGCAGAATTGCGAGTCGCACATGTTTTGCCCCTCATGACTTGGAATGCAGAAAGTATGGCAAGCCCTTGCTTTGAGGCATAGCTGTTTGTGTTCGGATCAACGGACACGGAAAGACAGCTGGGCCACTTGCCAACCAACTGATTGTCATGCAGCGTGACGCCTCTTGCATTTGAGGAAAGAGAAAAAAGACAAAGATGAGAAAGGCGAAAAGGGAGACAAGGCGGACAAAGGCGAAAATTCCGAGGAGAGCGAGAAGCCAAAGAAGAGTGAGGCTGGAAGCGGGAAAGATGACATCGCCAAGGATGGCGAAGGTGAGAATGGCCAGGTGGACGAGAAGGTTGCAAAATCAGGTACCAAAGAGCAGGAGGAGCGAGCAGACTAAGGATGTGACAAATGGGAGCGTACAAAGAAGAGCTGCAGAAGTCGCAAACCGGCTTGAGGTCAGACATCGCCAAAGCAGTCGATGTTGACTGCCAGGACCTTAGTGTGCAAATGCCATTCCTGTTGGATGCCACCATAGACTGAAGGACGACTCGCCAATTGAAGCCGCCGGATTGAAACTGAAAGGAATGAACTAGTGATTTGTTACTGCACATTGGCTGCCTGAAATCGCAAAGGTCCCTACAGCGCCCGCGGAAGCAGTATCAAGATTGAATTCATTAGCGCTTGCTTACTACTACAACATAACTTGCAGCGGTTAAAACAGGCTATAAGGTTTCATTGACACAATCCAGACGTGTGAACTGTCCAGCATCTCGGCACCACTCTCGAATTGCCACTTGTGGGATGGTCATCTTGAGAATTGCCAGTTGGTGAGTGAGTTCAATGCTGAGGCAAAGTCACAACCAACTCTATGCTCAAAGTGTAGGCCCATTTTGCACCATGTATAGCGTAGCATGCCTGTCTGATATGTAGCCACCCAATACAGAGCTCGCTTGCCGGTGGCTCTGGCTTGCCGTTGGAGTGGCGGGAATGTGCCAGAAGGTTGCACCATGTGCCAATGCTGATGTCACGTTCATTTATTTCCTTCGTTCCATTTCATGCTTTCAACTTCTGTCAGTCCAAGCTAACTCTCAAATAAAAACATTCACGAGGAGGAGGACTGGTCTCGCTTGCTTTTGCTCAACACCTCGCCCCCACGCCAAGGCCCAAGATTGTGCTGCGAGATTGGGAGAACATGAGCGTGATATTTGCTCAGATGTGCCACGGTCAAAAGACCCATTCGCTTGTGGTGAAAGGCCCTCCCAAACCATAGACCCCTCGGATCTGTTTTTGACCGTGGCGTGTATCTCACTCAGGGCCTTCGCCCTACGCTCGCGAATAGGTTTCGGGCGCGTGCCCGAGGTTACTCAAGTTGGCTACAAGTTGCCAAGGGGAAGTCGAGAGAGAATTGGTTTTGGTGTCCAAACAGTTTGGCTGTGCCCTTCCCTTGAGTCTTTGGGCAGCCTTTGGACTTGGGATTTGATCGGAGTTTCTCTCAGCCCGATGGGCTCGACAAAGTATCAGGTGTGCACATGTAGGTGTTTCGTTTTTTTGTTTTTTGAGGATTTGGCAATGTTGCTACCACTTCCTGACTCGTTCAAAAGCCTGGGCGGTTTGAACAAATAGGATCACCCTGCCCAGTTTTCCGGCAAAACTCTAGAATGATTTTGGTGTCTGCTTTTCGCACTTGCCTTGCCTTTAGGGCGATGATGTGCGTATCCACATGCTTGATCACACTGTCATGATAGGATGTGCAAGTGCACATGTGAGAGCCTCGTTGTCTAGGCCTTTGAGCCACGCCGCAAGCTTGTTAGAGGTGGCTCACTGGCTGCTTACGGCTTGCTAAGAATCATGCGTTGCGTGCCCGCCGCCATGAAAGAGACTATAGATTTCACCTCGAAATTCGTGTATCTCAGTATGATAGGTTGATGCGGCAACGTGTGGTCGAGACATGCAAGTAATAGGCTTCAAGATTACCCTTGGCAGTGATTGCCCCTGGTCTCTAGTTGGCCTCTTCTCTCGATGCTCCTGGCAGGGCAGAGTCTAAATGTGGGGAGGTACCGTTCACGCTGGAGTTTCCCAACGTATGGGAAAGTGTCACAAGGGGCCCCCAACATAGTGGGTTTTCTTTTGGCTTCCCTTTAAGCAACCCCAACAAGGCAGCCTCGACAAAACACGGGGGAGAAGAAGAATATTATATATTTCTATATATGTCCGAATGCAGTACATCGTAGCACGGGCGCAGTTTGCCTTGCGTGAGGAGGGCGGCTTGCCGGAGGCAGGCCAACGACTATGCTGAAGCCGCGTCAACAAGCTGCCGTTGACAGCCATGAGAAGCTCTGGACCCCAATGCAAAGCCTGGGGACTTGTGGGGATTCCTGCCCCAAGGAAACAGCTTCCAACCTTTGGGTGCATGCATTTCTTTTGCTTTGGGTGTCATTTGTTTGGGTACGCACTTCACTTTCCACTCTGATTTGGGAAAGAACGTGGGAAATAGACCACATTTCGTGTTGGAAGCCCGTTTGGGGGTTTCTCATAACAGTGGTACTCTAAACACCAACCAACCGGGCTCCGAAAGTGCTCCGAATTGGGCCGTCCTTTGCTCCTGCGGTGCAGGTAGACTTCGATGCGCTGCGAAAAGAGCTCGCCGCCGAGCCTTGCCCCCAAAGGGCGCCGTGAGGGAGTCATGGTTCAAGGGGTTTGGCTTGAGCTCACTTGCGCCAGATCCCAGGTTTCGACTTTTGGAGGGATAGAGGCGAAGGAACATTTTGAACTTCAATACACTTGCGACTTGAGAATTGGCGAGGAAAAAGCTGAACTACCATGTCAACCCACTTGCAACTTTCGAAAACTGGCCAGGGAAAAGTTGAACTTCCATGTCAACCCACTTTCGACTTTTTTTTTGGGGGGGGATGAACAAGTTGAACTTTGATTTTGAGGGGTTTTGGCTCTGCGCTTTGCCCCTGCAGTTAAGAGGTGGGCTTGACATGATTGATTTCTTTTTTTTGTCGGGGGGCAGAGTAGTTATGCTGGTTTGCCCTTGCCATCGATACTCTGTGCGGGTTGCTGTGAGCATGTGCAGGGGCTCTCTGAGCAATGAGGGTTCAGACGCTTTTAGACGCGGGAAAGTCCATTGCCGAAGTGCTCCGTGCAAGTGCCGGTGATCCCAGTTTGCAGAACTGCAACCATGGAAAACCCAGGCAGACCCTCTCACCAGAAATTTTGTCATGGAAGCCCATGGGAGGGGGAGACAGAGGGACAAACCTGTAGCAAGGCCAAGTGGTTGCCTTAGTATTGTGTTTGCCGGGTTGGGGATGCTTCCACACTTGCACCAGAACTTCAGAACGGTGGTGCTAGTTCAAGTTGCCATCGCGATGATTGCGTTCGCAGCAGAATTGATTGCTCCAATTCCAGCTGTCATTCTTACCTGTGACCTTAGCATGTCTCTTCCCTATCTGCAACAGGCGATCGGCCTTTCAGAGCGAGAGCAACCCAGTCTGTTGCAGCTACAAAGGCTTCTGATTTGTTGCCGCAGGGACGAGCCTGCTCGGCCTGCAAGGCAGGGGTCTCAGCTTGAAGCCGGGTACTTTGCTGGAAAACATGGACAGAGGTGTTGAAACAACCCACCCTCATCCACCCTCAGGTTTTTCCTTCAACGGAAAACCGAAAGCATGCTGCTTAGGCAGCTTAGCTGCTTCGCCATGCAACACGGGGATGGCCCAACCCTGCACATGGAAACATTCAACGCATCATTTTTGTTGAGAGGAATGTCTCTTATTTTTGGCCTCAGGGGGGAACTTTTTCGAGTCCTCCATTCATTTGCAGGTGAGTACGGTGTGGGTGTGTCTTCAAATCGTTTCCATTCGAAACGAGTTCCGGGAACTGTCTGGAACCCCCCCCTTTCCGATATGTCCACAAGGGTCTCTGGTCGTGAGACACAGCCAGGACCAAACACACGAAAGTGTGGCCTCTGCCCAGCCGAACGAGCAGAGATGCGACTCACTTATGAGACTGGATAAGCGGGTTGATCCGAGACGGAAGGCTCATAGTCCGGATACTTGCGTTGGAAGTCCCAGGAAGCCAACAAGGGGCAAATGTCCAGGTTTAACGTCAAGTTCTCTAAGGCAATGGGGTGACATTGGGCGCCAGTCAACATGTCAGTAGGGGACACCACAAATGTAAACCGTACCGTGGTTGGGATTTTGTTCCAGGCCCTTGCAAGGAGAAAGCTTTTGAGCTCCGCACATCGAAACCATGGCGTTCCTTCGTCGGAGCGTTCCAGATCCGTGTCAGGGCGCCCTTCAGCCTTTTCGCGGACTCCTGCGCCATGCAGGGCCGCAGGCCGAAGCAGGAGGAAACGCTTCCGGTTCCGGCGGCGCCGAGTCTTGTGTCGATGATGGGATGAGACATGAGGGACAAAGATTGGATTCGGGAAAAGATGCTTCGGGAAAGTGCCCGGCAATGAAACGGATCGACTAGTGAAGAGTGAATCGTGTCTACATAGGAAGCTCCTTCCTGCCGCTTCATTCCACGAGTAAGGTGACAGCTCGGGAGGCGCTCATGAAACAACATGGAGGCTCGTGCAACTGCGTGCACGTGAGCAAATATCAGAGATCCATTGCAATCTCTGCAGGCGTGACTTAGGCATGACTCTCTTGAGGCGGCATTTTCATGTGGGTGCAAGCGTGACATGGGCATGTCATTTGCGGGTCAGAGTTAGTTGCTCGTGTGCTACTTCATTGCGCAGAATAGGCCTAAGAGCAATGACGGGTGACTCGATTGATTGACAGCAAGAGCATTCATTCCTTAAAGACTTGCCAGCTGTCTTGACAGGATACAGACGTATTTGGGGCTGCAACGGCAACGGCTGGTGTAGATGAAGATCAACACTCCCAAGATGACAAAATCAGCTTTGGAATCACAAGAATGACCGCGGAGAAGCAGCATGTTAATGCAAGAGACACGGGAAAGGAAGCGGATAGGAACTCGGACATGCACCTTTGAGTGATGTCAGGACATGTTCTTTAGAAGTTTTAGAGGACATGAGTGGCATGGTAAAGTGAACGGCTCACTGACCAGGGGCTGCTAAAAAATGGGTTTGAGGCGCCAGCTTCCGGTTTGAGTGTATGAGGTTGGTTTGCCTTTATTGATGTATTTGCATTCGTCTTGGTGGCTCCCAGTCGGGTTCCTTAGCCTTGTAGCCTTTTAGACTTTTAGAGTTTAGTGGGGGTTTCCATGTAACCCACCAAAAGTCAAACTTTCGGCAGGGGATCTGAGGGCAGCCCAGTCGTGTCCACGACGCCTGGATATCAGGACCGCCACGTGAAGATCCCGGACCTCACAAAGGCGGCGAAGGCGAGACGCCGCAACCAAGAGCCCATCTAAGAGCCACGAGGATTCTAGGAGCCGGCGGTTATTTGCCCAAGACAACCTTTCTGGTCCGTATTCAGCCTGTGGTTTGATTGACAGGGGTCATCAAAGTGGAGAACACGGTGGACACTGCCAAGTACTTTTGGATGTTTTCAATATGAAAAAGCCTTTTCAACGGTCACATTGTCACCCGTCGTTCAAAATGGGGGGGGGATCCCGATGTTCCCAATTCGTTCCTCGTAATTACTGGGGCACCAGTAAGAATTGATTTTAAACCACCCCCAAGGGTCAAGAACCTTTAAATGGAATTACAGTGGTGTGTCTTTCCTTGAGCACCCCTTTGTGGAATGTGTCAAAGGGAAGCAAAACAGAAAAAATAATTTTCCCGTATTTTGAGACACGCCAATGTTGTGCCGGAAGGACATAGGTTTCAAGGTCAATGAACAAAAAACACATGCGTAGCGATCCCCTGCGGCAAGACCCAGGGTCTGATATGGGGGGTGGGCTGCTGTGAAGGCAGCGTGCCTGAATTTGATAAATCCAACTCCGCAAAAAGGCAGATTTCCTGGTCCTCACGGTTTCACAGATTTGCCTCAGCACTCCCCTTCATGGCGCGGGGTACCTGTGGTTTGAGCAAGTTGACAATCGGCAGTTGAAAGACATGGCGGGGCGGTTAACGCACCTAGACTGGAATGACCAAGCTGCAACCATTGCCTTCAACGTCATACTGTATGTTAGAGCCAGGGCCGTTTAGATCTTAAATCCAGGCGCCCACGTCAAGACACGCATTTGTCTCTCATGGAACAGCCGCACATCGGCTTGCCCATTCTGCCAGGGGTATGCTATTCTCTCAGCCCGACTTACTGAATTTGTTGTGTTCATTTGTTGGGTTCACCCTGGGCATCATCCCAAAGTGCAGCGCCAGGCATTTCGACAAAGGTTTCCCTTTTTCTTGTGTCAAGGATGTACTCTAGCACAACTCGCACAAAACTTCGCCAATACACTGGCAAGTTTCTGTGGCACAGGCGCTGAAGCTGCCGATTAACCATCTCCCGCAACCCTGCGCCTTTTTCTCCGTCTACGACGGACACCAGGCGGGATGATTGTGCCAACCTTGGTTTCCTGTTGGAGGACATCAGCCCCCAGAAGTACCGCTTGTATTCAGGTAAAGACTTCCTTGAGTGACCCCCTGATTCCAGCTGAAACTATTTGCTGGTGTCTAGAGAAAGCCAATATGCATTGCATACATCAGTCAAAGGGACAATCAATGGCTACCAACAAAATGTGGAAATAGGGTGGGGGGGGTGCTGGCGATGTACTTGTGGTGGTTTTGGGCTCGTCATGTTCTGGTTTGGCAAGCACACTCAAATTTGACAAGCCCACGTGATGATTGAGGAGCGTGATTTGGTTTACATCTTTCTTAAACGCGAACCAGCATCAGAAGCACGCCCCAGTTTAGAGCCCAGGCTGGTTTTCTGAAGTCTTGTGCGTTCACTGAACACTACCCTGAGATTTTCCCTAAGTCGGATTTAGGTTCCATGAGGGCAATGCTATCGCAAGTGTGAGTGTCGAATAGTTGCACCTGGGGCCCGCTTGGACATTCCCTTGTTGAACTTCCGCATGGCTCGAGGATTCCGCATGGCACCTCAATCTCCCATAATGTACCTGCTTTTCTTCGGCAAGCCGCACTGGACGGCGAAAGTAAGCCGCACTGGACGCTGGTGAGAGTGAAGGGGTGGTTCCGGGATGCAATTCACTGGCAGGCGCAGCATTTTTTTTTTTATTAATTAAGCCGCACTGGACGGCGAAAGTAAGCCGCACTGGACCGGCCGGCCCTTTTCTTCGGCCATTTTTTGGTTTCGTTTGAATCGGCGATGCCGTCCCGCGGAAGCCATTTGTCACTAGCATTGGCACAGCTGGTGCGCAAACGCCAGCGGCAGGGGCATCAGTGCGCCGAGTTCGCGGCAAAGGGCTTTCACATGAAGCTCCTCAAACGGGTGCCGCGCTCGTCGCACGCGGACCTTGTCGCAAGGGATGCCATGAGCGGAAGCAGTCATGTGAATTCCAAGAAGCACGATAGAAATAGATCATGTGCAGCTGCGGTACGCGCCAGGATAGATGACTTACTGTCCCAAGTGTTCTCAACAGGTTGGCAAAAAGGCTATGCAAGACCTATCTTGGCAAATTCACCACGCAGATCCAGATGCTTGCTCAAAGTTCTGCTGGGCTGTTGTGTTTGGCATGAGCAAATTCAGTCGTCACGTGCTGCTGGGCTGTCAGCAGATATCCCGCTGAGTTGTCTGCCGACGCCAACCCCGCCGCGTGGACGGATGAGCGAATATGTGGCGACCTTGGAAGGCGGCAGCGAAAAGTTAAAAGTTAGCCATGGCCGTGAAATCACCTGGTTGTAGCAAACGTCAACTGGGAAGTAGAGACTCACTCCCTACTCCCCAGCTAAACATGGACAAAAAACATGATTTGTGGAGGATTTTTTTGGGGGGGGATCCCTCTTTTGGGTTCCATGTAACCATGTTCATTTGTAGGGGAGGGGAATAGCATAAGGACTTCTTATGAATGGAGAACGTAAGGGAGCCCGACGACTGCGCAGGAGCCAAGGGCTTGACCACTGTACTCAAGACAAATCCTGAAGTCAGGTGCCAAGCTAGGTGAGGCGGACTGAGAACTTTGAGAATGGGTGAATCGGCATGGCCGAAGAGAGTGATCAAAGATCTGTTGGGTTATACTTAGTCTTCCCAGTTTCTTTCCATGGGACAATGCTCGAAAATTGGAAGGTTGCAGGGACAACTCGACATGAAGCCTGGAGACCTGCTTGTGTCTCTGTGTGTTTTCCTGAGGTGATGCCTTGAGGGAGGTTTGCGAGGCCGGGCCGCCATTCCAGACGTCCGGGAGACGTGCGAGCCACCATGGGGCCTTCATACTGGAATGCTCAACCCACCTCAGGTGAGTAGCTTATAGGCACGGGTAGAACTGGGTAGTTGAGGTATATACCCCACTTGCTAGGTGGGTTGAACATCCAGCTATGCCAAATGGGAGGTCGACAGAAATGCAGGAGAAGCACGCAAGGATAGGTGCCTTCACTTTATGCATATGTCTGCAGGTCAGCGACTATAGTGTGCCGGAATCACAGTGGACGTGTGAAAGTATTCACTTAATGCTTGTCAAGTGCTATTGATGTGGAGGTGTCCTTTGCGAGGTTGCCCGTTTGGTGTTGTTCTTCAGAGGAAATTGTCTTAAGAGGAAACCACTTCCTTTGAGGGTTCCTTGTTTTGGCAGACCTGTGGCTCGCCCAGATTTCACCAGCGATGTCCGCTGTCCTTCATCCAGAGACCAGTAGCGATTATTGTTGATGGGCAACCACCCCAATAGTGGTCCTATTTACTGATGCAGCATGCCATACAGGGCCAAGTTTGCCAACGGCACCATGCCCACCTTACGAGGGGCGACTCATGTCTCATGTCGTGTGATGTAGGCTATTCTGGGCCAGGTGGAAAAGTGTCCAAACTTGTGAGCCCTATGTGAATTGAATTGGCCATCTGATTTTGGCACATGTTCATGTGTCATTCTGACGGATTCACCTCCATGTTGGACCCGATCCTCAAAAGAGCAAACCCCCTATAGACTCCGGCAGAAAGCAAATTGCTCCCCTTTCTGCCTTGCACAAGTAGAGCCTGCCATGCAGTTGCCATTGATCTCCCTTTACAAGCCTTTTTCAGGGTCCCAATCAAGCAGCAGCAACAAGCGAAAACGCGTGTCTAGGAGCTGGACACGGAGTTCCTGGCCAAGTTTCGCACCTCTCCAGACGGCAGCACTTTAGCCCGGAGCATCAGATGTGAGCTTAAAGGGGGGTTGGGGGTGAGATGTTTAAGCTGCCGGAGATGTTGTGTTTGTTTTTTTTGAGGGCGGGTCTCAGGTCGGTTTCGGTTCATGTAGGCTCGGCGAAGGGCTGATATCCAGGCTGTTTGGTGGGTTTTGGGTTGATTTTGGGTGGGGTTAAGTTGGCATGAAGCTGATTTGTGCAATTTGTGTTAAGCAGTGGACTTCAGAATGTTGGTAGTCGCAACTTGGTGGATTGTGTGAATTGGTCCTTTCATTCCATGCCATGTAGTTTTGCCAAGACCTGAGCGCCGCCTGGAAGAGTTTCCACAGCCGCGCTTTTGGAATGGCGGGAGTGCCTTGTGAGTCAGCTTGAATTCAGTACTCTGAAGGCTGAGCCGATCAACTCGAATGAGCTCTACCAATGAATATATTGTATGGACACACACAGCAGTCTTGCCAAATGCAGTCAAAGCAGGCTTTGCCATTTGTCCTGTCACAGACTTCGGAGTGCCTGATGCAGAATCTTGTCCAAGGCTACTGCGAACCAGCATTCACCTGTAAAGATCGCGAGGGTCTATTTCCGTGGTGTAAGCATCACCTTTTGGACCAATGTTCGTTGAGTTTGTTTTTTCTGCAGTGATGTTCAGCCCGTCCCAAGCAAAGTTTTTGCAGAATGCTTCGAAGGTTTTGTCCTCCGCAGCAGGCCCTCGAATGTTGGTTGGCCACAAAAAGGTGGCGACTCTCAAGAGAAGAGAGTTGGAGAAGATGATTTCCTCCGAAAGGGAGCCAAAAGCAAGTTGTCGGGTCCATGGCCAAGGAAGAGTATCCACTCACTTGCCGAGCTTTTGAGCTTTCAGCTTCCCCTTTGCACTCAATTTTTAGTCATAGCCCCAAGGTGCATAGGTGTCCTTTTTGGTTGATTTGGTTGAAAAATAGAGGTCCTGGTTTGCCTGATGGTTCAATCAACTACCAGGGCCATCTATTTTCCCAAAAAGGACACCTATGCCCATGGGTGCCCAAAATGGACCCTGGGAAATGGAGCAAAGGACTAAAACCTGCGGTCTGGTGGTTTAATTTTGACCCATGCCCAGGTGCCATTCGATTCTTCTGCTTAAAAAAAGCATGTGAGCCCAGGTCGTGGCCCTGGTGGTGGGCACCAAGCTCTACACCGCCTGGGCCGGCGGCCACAGTTTTGGGGAAAACCAACCTGAAATGGCTGTGGCTCAAAATTTATCAGGAGAGGCGCAGGTGTTGGTCCATATTTCCACTTACCAGGGGTCCATTTTGGTACCGGTTTTTTTGAGCCACAGCCAAATGGCTGGTCAAAACCGAGGGTTGGTAGGTGAATTCACCACCCATTTTAGGCTTCCTATTTTAGTGGTCGGATTGGGATGTTCACTGGCGGTACGATTTGGCTTTTGACCCATGGCCAAACGATCGGAACAAAGTGCCCTTGGGAAGAAAACTGGGTTGCTCTTTGGTTTGACTCTGGGTATTGACATCTTTGGGATTCACGTCCACCATATTTGTTTTGCTCCCATTCAGGGTGCACTGCACAAATTTTGGCTCCCCTTCTGTGTGAGAGGCACTCAAGTTCTCTCAAAGCAAACCTGCCTCATCAAATCTGGATCCCCAATAAACTCAAATTATGGTTGGTTCCCGAATCAAAGCAAATTGGAACTGCCCTTTATAGGTCATCCACGTGTGAAGCACCTGTCCGTTGGGATGCTTCAACCTGCTAAACAAAGGGGCCGGGTTTTTGGTGTGACCTTGCGCGCCGCCCTTTCTGGGTGTGGTTCCCGCCACGAATTGCCTGTCAAGGTCAGATCTAAGTGTCCAAGCATGTTATCAAATGGATGGACAACAATAATAACGGACCCCTTTAAGAATCCTTTGGCGCTTTTTTTGCGACAGCTTAGGAGATCCCCCAAAAGGGTCGCTAATTTGTCCGCCACTTGCTTTCATTGGAGATCCGCCCGCCTCCTGAAGTCATTGTTTGTTCTTGTGACCGTTCCCTCGACCACATATGGCACGCGCTTAGGAAGAGTTTCGCCACTGCCTTTTTATGCGAAGATGGCATTGCTTGCTAGACTCAGGACGCATGGAAGATATGGGTGTTTCGCGAAAATGGGATACCCCCTTACGTGGCTTAGTGGAC